TCACTCGCAGGCTATAGGAACAAGACAGGATGAAGGCCACCGTAGCATTCGGAGGCAAAGCGTTCCACAAGCTGGGGGTTCTCGTGGCGATCCTGGCTTCGATACTCTGGCTGCGTCCACCATCAGCGGGCAACGTGGATCCGGACGCCGAAAGGAATGTCGTAAGTACGCGATTCGCATCGTTACCCGACCGCGGTGGGGCTTCAGTTACGGTGCAACTGTCCCGAATGCCACGGAGTTTGAATCGCGGCGCTTGCGCTCGAATTTCCGACGGAGGCAAGAATGCTGGAGGCCCGTATACTTAAACTTGCGTGCACGTAAAAGAAGCTCAGGTGGCCAAAATTTACGGAGCTCACTAGTGCGGCGTCTGTCGTGATTGCACCGTAGTTTTGGGAACGTAAAACCCGAACTGTTATACGTGTTATCATTTGCCACTTTGTACCACTCGGTTTTGAATGCGTTCTTTTCTTCCTTGAATGAGTTGTCTGCAATACTACTCCACGCACAGTGTGCACTGTGCAATTACGCGTTAGCGCACACGTTCGTCACCAGGGACGGCTTTGTGCGCTCCCATAGTTTAGTACGAAGTACTCAAAATCGTTAACCATTTTTTCTAAACACTACTCTAAATCGTTACACCTACTTTTTCTAAATACATACTATGTCATGTACGCCAACAGGACGGCTTTCTCCTCTCCCATAGTAGAGTATCTAGTACTTTAAAAAATCGTTACCCACTTTTCTTTAAACATAGGCACTTAGCCGGGACGGCTTTATACTCTCCCATAGTAGAGTACCAGGTACTCTAAATCGTAAACAACTTCTTCTGAACAAACATATGTCGTTCAACGGCCAGCTACACGGGACGGCTTTACGCTATTCATAGTAGAGTACCAGGCACTCTAAATCGTTAACCCTTTTTTTTCTAAATATAGGTTTCCAATTTTTATTTAGGGACGGCTTACTGATCTCCCATAGTTGAGTACCAAGTAGTCAAAATCGTTAAACACTTTTTCTAAACACATATAACTTCGTGAGTGCCCACGGGACGGCCTTATTCTTTCCCATAGTAGAGTACCGAGTACTCTAAATCGTAAACTACTTTTCTCTAAACACATGCGTTCTTGTCGCGACCTGACGCTTTGTTTGGGACGGCTTCCTGCCCTCCCGTAGTAGAGGACAAAGTACTATAAATTGTTAACCCCTCTTTCTAAGCACAACGGGGGCTTTGCTTTGTGATGTGCCAGCCCCATCCATATCGATTTGTCTCCCCCTAGTTATGAATCGCCTGGTCATAACAGCGATGTCATAATTGTTGGCGTTTCACATCCGAATACCGCGATATGATAGTTAGGGATGCTGCAGTGGAGGGCTCCGCAAAGTTTTACCATGAAGCTGGAGTTCTTGAACGTGCACCTAAATATAAGCGTACCGGCCTCTGGTATTTCCGCATCCATCGAAAATGCGGCTGCTCCACGGCCGGGATTTGAGCTCGCTGCCTGCGGGTCAGCAATCGAGCACCTTAGCCTATCGTGGCCACTAGACCGCTATAGCGGGTTCACAATGATGCCATGACTCTGCGAAGAAGACGTTAGATCTGAAAAAAGACGGCACGGATTCCTAAAGTACCGCACCTTTGTAAAGCATAGCTGAGTGTGATAAATGACGTAGACATTAGTCGCAAACAATATCAATTATTACTTTATTCTGACGCAAAGGGTCAATAATTTGCTACGTAGCCTGCAACTAAAAGTTGTAGTTAGGAGCACCAGTTATTTTTTTTATTTTTTTAAAAGTTGAGGCTGTATGTCACCTCAATTTCTTCGCGTTGGGGTCCGTACGCCAAAAACTCTGGTGCCCTCTGGATAGTGACGGGAAAACTAAGGCATTACATTTATTAGCCCACCCCTATGAAAGATACCCCAGCGCCGGTTGTGTCGGATGGCGGGGGAGAGAGGCGGCAAATTGTTGAATGCTAAGAGCTTGTTGACACAGCCTTTCGTGTGCATCGTTTGGCAGTTATAATGAATCAATGATCACTTCATTGCAATTCCAAAGTCTACCGAGTTTCTTTAGTCTATAGTTTCTTAGAAGAGGCGATGACAGCATCGGCTGACTCTTTAAAACTCCGAAGCAGGGTATCACCAAGCCTCCAGGAAAAGATGCACGAAAGAAATGTTTATATTTGTTTACAACCTAAAAATAAATGCAAGCTGAGCGCCTGTCAATCCCTTAGGCAAAAAAGTTGTGCAAGCTAGTTTCCTTTCGAAGCTTGACTAGACTTTACATGTTAATGTAGATGTACCGCGCATGCTGAAAACTATAGGTTCGTCGTTCTTACCTAAAATATTATCTTGGGCAAAGCGGTAATATCAGAATTCCTTATGAAACTTCCAAGGACATTGTACTTTTCGACTGTATACCGACACACGTTGGCGTGCGTACGGGTGCATCAACTATCTAAAACACGCAATAACTGCCTGACATCACGGAATAGAGAGAAATGTGATTGGATAGGATAGCTATGGCTGTAGGTGAGCATTACATTTATTATCAGGTCGCAGGCGACTGTAGGTAGGTTTCCTAGAGCGACAAAAGACTTAGCAGGGGCTTAGCTCGGCTATGATAGGATATGTAGGTAGCGTGAGCTACGGACGAACGGATGGACAAACAGACGGACGGACGTACGAACAAGCGAGTCAAGCTGGTCAAGCGCCGGCTCACTATATGTGTCACGTCACTCTGGGAGCTTCCAGTCATTCTCCAGTGCGCCAGCTGACCACCGTGTGACGTCACTGCTTCAAGGGAATTCGCAGGACGACTGTCGACAAGTCATGCAAAACGGCTCAAGCTCGGTCAGTTCAGCTTACGCTACAAAGGGAATAAAACGTTTCGTTGGAAAGAATCTGACGGGGTGGAACGTTTGAGGCAACGAAAAAAAATTCTTCCAAAACAAGTGATATGATGCCCTTAGGAACTGGGGAAAAAAATGTGAATGTGGCACGCACATAGAGATACCCTCACAGCACGCACGCACACTTTTAATCTAGCTTTATTTGTGCGACCAGTTAGCACTTTTTAGCTTATCTTATGAGCCACCTAAGCGTACAAAATGTCATTATGCCGATACGACAGAATGTGTTATCTACTTGAGTGCAAGCTAAGTTCTATTTGAATATTGGCTCTTAACCTGGACATCCGGGATAAGTGTGGGAGGCATGTATCTATCGTGAATAATGGTTATGACTTCGAACTATACGGCGCGAGTTTTGTGCGTGTACGGTTTTGTGACGTTGGTTGAAGATATGGATGGCATGGCAGAAAAAAGGGAAGAATATAACAAAATAGACGAAAAATGACTAACTTAGTGATTACAGTATCAGGTTAAACGGCAAGTTGTACATCGCACTGTACACGGTTGATATTTCAATAAAGCATTTGGATAGTGTCCGGAGCGATCTTCGAAAAATTAACCATATCAGGGTCAAGCCACTTGGGGCGCTGCGATCGATAGTTTGCAATGTATCGTCGTTTGGAAAGTTTAGCGTGGCTCTGCCACTATATATATATATATATATATATATATATATATATATATATATATATATATATATATATATATATATATATATATATATATATATATATATATATATATATAAAGAAACGGGACTGGAACTTAGTGCTTACGAAATCACGTTAAGCTAAGGTTGTGTATCTTAATGTGGGTCATTTATATTCAAATGAATAAATACATGGAAACATCGCAAAGCTCGAGGTTACCGCGGTGATGATATAGTTGAAGGCTACATTGATGCACATTGACTTTCACCCCATGCATTTTTACGTATTTATGTGTCCTTTGCGTGAGCAAAAAACGCGACATTGGGAGAAAGGAGTTCAAGGCGATAAGAAGCTCCATTTTCAGTTTGGCTTCTCCTCTACTTGTGCAGGCAGGAGCTCGGGCAGGACATAGGAATGCATAGGTCGCAGTACGACAAACACGTCACAACTCAATGCGTCAAAGCTTTATCAGCTTTTTGATTCGAACGTTGCGTGATATGAAACTGTTTCCATGCGATGTTGTGCCAGCCGATAGCTTCTTGAATTTGTCTTATTGATTTTTTCTTTGCTGGTGAATAACGAGAAGAAATCGTGACTTCCAAATACAGCACGAAAATCGTGGTTGCCTGTGTGGTTTGTCAAGTTTTACAAGTAAGGTTCTTTTACAAATAGCTTTCAAACAATGACGGCGATATCGTTGTTTTTTTCCATAGTAAGGTTTCATTGCCTCCGATACTCAATAAAAATACAACTGCTACGCAAGTGCAACATGTGCAACGCTATAGATATATCTAATACTGCAATGACGCGCATGCAGATAACAGCTCGACCTGGGCGAGCTGGCTCGTACTCCATGTTCTGGGGCGAAAATGTTTGGGGAGCTAACGAGCTCTAACAAAAGGCATATGCACCATCCAAGTTATTTTATGCTACACTAAGAATAGGGGTGTAGCAAGGATTTTTTTTTTGAGGGAGGGGGGAGTTTGATTATACCTTATGTATGTTCGTGTGTGCGTTTGTATGTGTGTTTTTATGTATACGCAAGCTAAGTGGAAAATTTCCATGGGTTTCAACACCCAACCCCTCCCCTTTGGCTACGTCCTGACCAAAAATACTACTTCGTTCATTCATTCATTCATCCAAACATGAACTACACCCCATGCCGTCGTAGCCGTCATGCAGAATGACAAGCTTGGCGTTGACGCCATTATTTCAATTAATTAGTTAATTAGTTTATAATTGTTCTTGACTTAAACTACACAACATGCCGTCATACCCACCATGCAGAATGACGGGCTGACTCGATGTCATTCATTCATTCGTTTAAACCAGAACTACACGCCATGCCATCGTTGTCACCATACACTAGACTGATTGCTTCCTACCTAATTAACTGGTGAAGTGATTCCTACTCCGCTCTGTGATCGTGGACGCAGGCTGAGGTAATCGCTGACAAGGGCTACCCGGTGCAAGAGTTTGTGGTCACCACTCGCGACGGATACGTGCTGCCCCTGCAGAGGATCCCTAACGGTCGAAAAGACCTCTGGTCTACGCATCCTCGCCACTTCCGCCCGGGGCCACCAGTAATACTGATGCACGCCCTCCTCTTCTCGTCCAACGTGTGGGTAGTCAATGGGCCCGACCAGAGCTTACGTGAGTATACGCTCGGCTGAAGGTCTTTACTACCGTCGCAGAGGCTACTAGTGCCACTTACACAAAGCATATACGTCTTGAGTCGGAGTGAGTGCGGCGGGCGATGTTTGCGGCACTGGCGAAAATGTCGAACACCTGTTACGGCAGTGTTCCGAATTCGCCTCGGAGAGACATGTACTTGCCAGCGTTTTGGGGTGACTGGACGATGGGCCACTTTCTGTGCAGGTGCTATTTCGATCCCGTCTACGTCTGTCGACATTCCACAAGGCAGTGAAAACCCTCTTGTGCTTTTCCAGGACGACGGGCTATAGTGCGAATGCCTCTGACTCACGGTGGAGTTCTACACGCTGCAGTCAATTCACTGCCTCACTCTCCCCTTTTCCTTCTTTTCCATCCTCTCTCTTTCTCATCTTGTGTTCCCCTTCCCTGATCCCTCAGTGTATAGGCTGGCCGGCAGAAGTGTTTCTAGTTAACCTACCTGCCTTCTCTTTTCATGTTCTCTTCCTTCCTAAACAAAGAACACACTGGTGGAGTCGTTCACCAGAGAAAGTTGTAAAGAAGGACGTCATTGATGTTAATGCTCGGTGGTGGTGGCCAAACTCGGGAAAACTCAACACACGTCCTGTCTGGATTTCGTGCCGACCGGTTGTGCCCCCGCGATCTCCGACGACAGCGCAGCTCTGGCCGACTGGCTGGCCCTATATACGCCATCTTCTGACGCCGGCAAGAGCTCTCCTTGAGTGGTGCCCTGTCCTCAGACTCCTGCGACCGTGTCCATCTTTCCTGTCTTCTCCTTATTTCCGTATGCGGGTCTCTTTGTCCTTGTCTCTATCTCTATCTTTACACTTTTTAATTCTCCCTATCCTTTTAGTCCCTCCTTACTCCCATCCCTCGAGAGCTATATACTGTTGAGGTGTCGCACTATGATGCAGACAGTTACGGGGCGCACTTTTATCTTCTTTTGTCTCTTTAAAGAATCAAATAAGGGGCTGTTTCTGTTATAATGCTGAACTACGGGCTCTGAAGCCAGCAGTACATTTGCAGCGCTGCTTGAGCTTAAGCTGCAGAACATCATCCCGTTGCACAGCAGCCCCTGCGCAATGCGCAGTACAAAATCGATGTTGGTGTTTTTGAGGACTACACCCCTTAACACAACCTCATGAGCAACGTCTTTTGTGCCTATAAGTGCGCGACTAAACGTGTTACTTGTGAGTATATTTGATACACATCAGAGCAGCCCCCGAAAACCACAGTGGCACGCAGGGCGGTGAGCTAATGTTTTCCGTGGTGTATACCAGTGGCGTGGCGCTCAGCTTCTGACCATAACGAAGGTCGTGGGTTTGATACCGGCTGCGCCGGTTGCATGTCGATGAAGGCGAAATGCTTGAGACCTGTGTACTTTGCGATGTGAGTACACGTTAAAGAGTGGATGACCGAAATTTCCGGAGCCCTCTGCTACGGCGTCTTTCATTATCTTATCATGATCTTGGGAAACCCCAGATATTTTATAAGCCAGGTTAACATAAACGTTGTGCGAATGTGTTTAAAACTTGTTTCCACTTGTGCGTTGACAGCCTCCGTCTTTTATATATATGAACAAAGAATTTGAGTACATCAATAACACGTTGTATGAGTGCGTGTTAAAGCGTATCTTGGTTTGTTACGTGCAGCCTATGTTTTGGCCGACGCCGGGTTTGACGTGTGGTTGGGTAACGTGAGGGGCAACAGCCAGTCCCGACACGTCAACTACACCTTTTACCAGAAGGAGTTGTGGGACTTCAGGTAAGAGATATGCACCCTACCTCGGTTGCTGCGACACTATTCTGGATTTCAAGTGCATAATTGAAAAGGCTACCTCCTATCCAACTCTACGCAAGCACTCATGCTTGCTGCGTTAAACACTTTTTTTAGAGTAAAACAGCACAAGTGAAGTTGCAAATATAAGGGGTTGATATTATGCTGCAGATTAAGAAGTACGGCTGAAGAAAGATACAAACTACGAAGTAGCAAAAGTGAATGCAGGCAGGAAGCAACACTGCGTCTTATATAATGTAGGTACTATAAACGTTTTGCGTATTAGAGCGAAAACTCGTCTGCGTGTGCTGTCTCCCAAGGTCATCTTTAACGTCGCAATGACATTGAGTATCCAGAGCCCAAATGTGGCAGTCGTGACGTCAAGCGACGTGATCCGCTGCAGAGATGCGTTGCTGCTTTGCTCGCTCGGAGACTCACCGCTGTCGGTACCACGTGACCGGATTAGCCTTTGAAAAACCGATGCCAAACATACGTTTCTCACTTGTGATTAAATGAAATAGATCTGCAGCCAATTTATATTACAAAAACTTTCGCTGTCAGCAGAAAATGTGATATTTTGACTGAACGCTCTCAACATGTGTTTGCTAAATAGCTGTCTTACAAGGCGGCTGTAATAAGGAACTCTAAACTGGAAAGTGTTGAATCAGCTAGCCTATACACTGGCCATCTTCGATCAGGCCCGTAGCCAAGTTTTTTTTAAGGGGTGGGAGGGGGGGATTTGTTGAAGGGCTTGGAAAATCTGTATTTTCATTACTTATTCTTTGCAAAACACCCCCTCCGTCCGAATATCAGGGGGAGGGGCGGGCCTAGGGTGAATTCCCCCTGCTTTCTGGCTACGGGTTTGCTTTGGAAAACCTATAGTGGTAATAGAAGGAAAATCAGGATTAAAGTGAGAGCCCCGAAATACGGCATTGACTATAAAAAACTCATTGTGTGTCATCGTTCCGTTATTGCGCTGTTAAGGATATGAAGCAAAATATACCATGCCTTCTTGCTTGTTTATTATTATTTTTTCTTTTTCTGACACTGATTGTAATCGAAGTTATGGGTACGCATACTAACACTAATACCACTATAGTAGCACTAACGCCAATAACTATCGAATAACAGCGCTAAACACGCTATAAATACGTTTACGTGTATTTACGTCGCAGTTTCGAGGAGATGGGCGAATTCGACCTGCCGGACACGATCGACTTCGTGTTAAACGTCACAGGCCACAACAAGACTTTCGTCATCGGTCATTCCATGGGGGCTGCCATGACGTTTGCGTTACTCTCAGAGAAGCCGGAGTACAACGACAAGGTATAAAAAAGAAACAAAAACGTGAAAAGTGTACGCGATCCAATCAAATGCACATTAGCGATGCTAGTGCGCGTTCTAATCGGTGTCTTGTATTGAGGTGGAATTCAATTCCCAGATACCTGGGGTGTATTGACCCTATAGATTTCTCTATGCTGCTGCCCAGCACACCAGTCTGAACAACGTATTATGGAAGCCAAGCTCCGTCAGCTGCATTCACGCCCGCTTACAGAAAAGAAGATCCTGGGACCTTGGCCGACGGTTTCGGATACGCGCAAAGCCACGAAAGCCCTCTTGTGTTTATTAAAGACCACCGGACTTCACAAGCGCTTGTGAAAGAACAGTGTGAGACCGTGCTGTGTAGTCTCGAGCTGACTATTCACCCATCTCTTTCTTATACTCTTCTTCTTTTCTATCTCTTTCCTTTCTATTATTCCCCCTTTACCCCACGCCAACTGTAGGGTAGCCAACCGAGTCAAGCTTGGTTAACTTTCCTGCCTTTCCTCTATACTTATCCCTCTCTCCCTCTCTCTGTCTAGCACACTGAATAAGGCACACGAAAAAAAAAAAAAAAACAGGGTAAGGCTTCAGTCCTGACCTTTTCCCTGCATATACTGGGTGAACCTGTGCCCGGGAACCGAGACGTCAGACTACAATGCACGCTGCACGCTGGCAGCGGCGAACAGAGCGTCGGCCGTCGATAATCTGAGCTACGGTGAGGTGCGCAGGCAATTTACAAGCGGCACCAAGTATTCGAGCCATGTTGCTAGTGCTCACGTAAGCTCTCTAACATACTTTACTGCTCACGTTCTGCGTGTAATCCTAAGAGATTGCGCTCAAATAACTGCGAAGCTTCCAGAAAATTGTGGCGCATTCAGCGCCGAGCGTTGCCAACAGTCTTTGTGGGCGAAACCCGACCACAACAAAGGGAAGCACAAAATACGCGGGGAAAAACACAAAAATAATATTTTGCATTTGTGCATTTGTGTTGCAGTGGTACCTATAATCTCTGGCTACGTACACCGAGAAGTTGCCTTAAAAATTAGTTTTACACCTTGTTTTCCCTTCCCTGGTCGTAGACGAAGATTCGATTAATTCGACCAGCTGAATGCTCGAATACTAAAACAACAGGTGCAGCATGAAGCAAGGTGAACGAGAAATACGCGACTAGAACTTTTTTTTGGATTCTATGAGGTTTTCGTCTTGCGAATGCATCAAACTTTAGGACACTCAGTAAAGTTTGTGGCAACCAAGTCCACGACTCGATTGATATTGATTGATTGATATGTGGGGTTTAACGTTTCAAAACTACCATATGATTACGATAGACGCCGTAGTGGAGGGCTCCGTATATTGCGACCGCCTGGGGTTCTTTAACGTGCAGCCAAATCTGACCACACGGGCCTACAGCATTTCCGCCTCCGTCGGAAATGCAGCCGACGCAGCCGAGATTCGATCCCGTGAACTGTGGGTCAGCAGCCGAGTACCTTAGCCACCACCGAGGCGGGGTCAGTCTAAGACTAGACCAAACTTGAAAAGCGAGAACTCACGCACAGCGTTCTTGTTTCGCTAGGTCGGTCGCGTCCTGGTTACGCCAATATATTTGAAATTATGATGAATTACCAATGAGCCTCATGTGTTTGTTCTGTTTCGCGCTACCCCACATAAAAAAATACGGAAAACTAACTAGCCCGAACCACTATATTCTTCTAAGTTACATGAACAGAACAGGACTCGGTACTCTGTGAGCTTGGGTTACTCCAAGTTATCGATTAAGGATGAAACATCACTTTATTATTTGTTTTTTAATTTATTTACTCTCAGGGTCAACGGATATTACAGATGGAAGTGGTAAAAAATACAACAAAAAAAAAACAAGTTTATAAGTACAACAGGCAATGCAATGTTCCTGGTTATACAACAGCAGGTTGAAACAACAAAAAAAGAAAGAAAATGGGAAATATCAAAATGGCGTATAAGAAAATAGAAAGATACATTCTTGTGAAAAAAGATAAACATAACGTTTATAAGCATACAATGAGCGTTGTTATACTTCAGTGCAACAAATAACAGATACAACAGATAACAGTGAAATCTTAATTATAGAAATGTATAAGATGAAAACTACTACCAGGTATTCAACGAATTGTTTAATACAGTCAACGATATAAAATTTTTAGAAAGAATGGGGAAGGCAATTGAAATCGCGTGATGTGCGTGGTACGTATGATTGTCGAAATGACCCTGTTTGAGACGATGGGATGCCAACTTTATGCGGACAGGAGAACGTTCTAGTCCAGGCAAGTGGCAGAACATTTTATGCACGGGGAAGCGTAGCATGAAATTCAAGCTTAGTGATCAATACGTCTTGTCAAGCTGCATATGCAAGGTCTTCCTTGATGCAGCAAAATCTGCATAATGATGCGAACGTGCATCTCGCCAAATCGACAGCCATAAAAGCTAGACTGTGCAAAAAAAAAAAGAACGTGTATGTGGACGATGTCGTGGAAACGAAATTGCGTACCAAGTCAAATACATCAGCGTATAAGAATGCGAACGATCAGCAAACTTGCCGTAGGTAATCTCGATACTCACAATACTAGTTCATCTAGGCTTGTTTTTTGTTTAACTTACCACTTTTCGAAATGCTGTCTACATGTTCCTTATCTTGATTGGCTTCATAACAATGTATGAGCACATTTTATTATATTTTTCGTTTTTCTCTTTGCCGCCCAATAGATACTGCTCTTTTCTGCCATGGCACCGGCGGTACGTATCGACAACATGACGTCACAAATACGTCACATCCTGTCCTTGATGGACGACTTGGCGGTGAGTCGAATGCTTCTATTCTGACTATTCGTATATTCGCGGGCAAAAAGTGAGCGGTGCATGGTGCGTGCACAGATATATGTATACGACAATGTACCACGATCCTACGGCGTCTACGCTACGTGTAGGCATTTACCATGTCGGCACAGCTTCGGAAGAAAAAAAAAGCCTTGCTTTTGAAACCACGCAAGGTGGTAAACGCCGGCTTCCGTTGCAGGACCCATTAAGAAATGGAACGGTCGACAGACACGCGGTAATTGTAGCTGCTAGAGCACGGTTGGGTATCCGTCTCCTCTGTGAGCATCGCCGTTTCAGCGCGTCCAGAGAAGAGCCTTCGGATGCGTTAGGAAGGCTTGATAATCGCCCTTTGTCGGTAGTGGCTTTACGCCATATCCTATGTCATCTTTAAGGATATGTCATAAACGCGTGGGGCAAAAAAAATAAACTACGAAGAATCGTCACACCATAATCTTTAAGTTTTCCAGTAACCATAAAAAATTGAAACAGAAGCTCGCTGGAAGTTGTGACCAGAGCATGGATCGTTATGGTAGAGTGAAGTTGTCTTGCGAACGTTATTACGCGCTCATCATTATTTTTTTCAATCAGTTGAGCAAAAAAACAATAAAACAGAAATCAGGCGAGATTGGCTTGTGAACGCCATATATAAAAAAAGCCACCTGTTTCATCAACTCTCGATTCTCGCGCAGCCTGTGGCTGCGCTGTTTGGCAGGTACGACTTTCTCTACCACGACCGGATGATCGACTTCACCGTGAAGACTCTATGCCGCTATCCGGTGTGCCGGGCCTTCTGTCCCTGGTTTATTAGCTTCGCCTCCGGACAGCCGACTCAACCAATAAATTCGGTAAGCAAATGCCTACAACGAGTGTCCATACAACGAGCATGACGTCACTGACACGGAGCTTTATAGCTCTGGGCTGGATCAGATACCTCCTACTGAAATAAATGATAGAGAACGCTAAACGGTATCAACTTGCGCTTGTTCACCCGGCTTCATCACAGAAAACAGAGCGGACAAACGCATGTCCCTATATTTCTTCCCTCTTAATTCCCTTTGCAAGGAAGCTTATATATTTAATTTCGCAAAGAAAGAAAGAAAAAAAAACTTGCACTTATTGCATGTGCAAATAAAATGGATGAGCTACGCTCTTTGGAACGACTATAATCCCGCTGCTGGCTTTCATGAAGGAGGCAGGGTGCGGAGCGGGCGGGGAAAGCATTTTTTGCACTCGGTAGCGCGAAGGACATAGCGAGCGAGTGCGTGTGTCACACCTGTCCCGCTTATTAGGGAGGCGATCGCCGGGCTAATTCCAAGAGCCGAAGTATCGGCTCCCCGAACCGCACCACGAAAGCGTGGACAATTTAGAAGTGGTCCTTATTGGCGCGCCAGCAGACGCCGGCTGTGGCCCAAAGAACAAGTCAGAGCCGAGAGTTGATAAACAAACAAAATTATATTCTCAATAATGGCAGATCAGAAACAATACACAAAAATGCACACTCCACAATAGTTGCATACAATATGTCACCAATCAAACCAATCAATCACGTACTACACAATACAATCAGCCACACTCAAAACAACGGACACAGACAACAATATGCACCACAATGCAGTCGCATGCATTGAACAACCAAGACACTTAAAGACTAAAGAGATATGAAACCTATTCAGTCCAAAGTCCTTGGAACAAAAGTCTGAATGATACTCTTCCGAGAATCACTCACTCAAAGTCCAGCGTTGTTGTCGTTCCGCGCCCTCTCGAAGTTTCTCTTCCAGGAAACCTCGCCGGAGTTTCTCTTCCAGGAAAACTCCCGTCTTCAATTGGCCACTCTTCAAACTTCAACTTCTTCGCCGGAAAACCGTCGGCTTCACACACGCAGCTGTTGCCCGCGTCTTCGCTCGATAGCGGTAAACCCACGCTCTTGCCTGTAGCTCGAGCCGTCCCTACGGACCAAAAACTTCGCCGACTACACGGCGGACTCTCTACGCACTCTGGCGCTCACTTCCGTCTCCTCCTGTTCTGTCACTACGGGCAGAACCTTCGCCGACTCCACGGCGGAATCCCTTCGCACTCTGGCGCAACTTCCGTCTTCTCCTGATTTCTCGTCTCGGCTGCTCGGTTAAATACCTTGCGCGCGACTTTCCAGATGTTTCTCGTCATTTCGTCGGCGCGATACGCAGCGAAGGCTGGGGAGAGGCACGAGACGGTTCGACTGCCCTCTCCGGAGGATGATTCACTCGGTCTGACCCCGCCTCCTTCGTTCGAGAAAAATCGCGGCCTTGCTGGGCCGCCGATGTGGGGTGAGGAGGATCGTCTGCGAAGCCGTGCTTCTGCGGGGAGAGCGCGCGCCCGGGAGCCCTGGATGTTTGCTTTCTTTTTTTTTCTTTTTACCTCGCGGCGTTTCAGCCGCCCGTTGTCGCAAGTATTTGGCGGCGCGCTCTTGTTTAGCGCTCGTTCTGTGACACTGCCCCCCACTTTAAGAATATTATCTCATAATATTCAAAAACCACACAGACGAGCGCGAACAGTCACCACACATTCTCACAGACTGTAACACAATCCGTCGCTCATGACACTTCACATTCACAATATATCACTCAATACAATCGTACATTGTAGTTCAATTCCACAACACATGAAATATAGCCACAGGTACATGCCTACAACACTTCATCACACATTCTAAACAATACAGCCGTACAAAGTTCTGTCTATCCAACAATTATACAACACTATACATCACACCATCACACAGAACACTGACTCACTCGACATACACTTGAGACACAGGATAACAAGAACATTAACACAACATATGTCACTCAGCCCTGCCAGACACATTCTGATTCCACCTCAGCACCTATCCTGTGTACTTCGAACAGCGCTTGCGCCCCTTTTTGCGGTGCTCGCTCGATCTCTTCTTGTGCTTCCACGTTCTTTTTCGGCGAGCCCTTTCCAACGACGATATCTGAGGCGTCGTCTCAGCCATCGTTGTCTCTTCCGACACCGTTAACGCGTCATTACATTCGACGGGTCCTGTCTGTTTATTTACCCGCTTGATCATGCCTCTACATTTTGCCCGGCTGGCCAACTCCGTCTCCTTTACACTGTCAGTCGGTTGAGGTCGTGCCGACGTAAGTCCGGTTGCTCGGCCCGTGAACTTATTCGACACTATCGTCTTCTCCTTCGCTGTCTCTTGCGCCGCGGCCTCCCCTTGGGCTCTAGTGAGATCCGTCACGGGATGCTCCTCCACTGTATCTCGCGGCCGCTGTGTTGGCGAGGGCTCTATCTTCGGGTCTTCTCCCAAACATTCTGGATCACTTGGCCCTCGCGCCCCGTCGATGTTTCCGATGACAAGGTCATACAGGGGGGTCGTCATGCATAAAGCAGTAACCTTCCCGCTGAAGTACGGGGTTTCAACTTCAATTTCTGCTTCGGGAAGCATCCGGACCGTACGGTCAATTAGGCAAACCGGTCTCGTTCTGCCTGTCAACTCTCTTTCCCGTACCAAATTTCTCCTCACGATAACCGTGGAGCTACCGGTGTCTCTTAGAACCGTAATCTTCTTGCCTGCAATCTTTCCAGGAAGCGTTGGCATTCCCTTCGTAACACCGGTTGGCTGTTTTGACATTACAGCCCCACAATAGGAATTTTCTCCCCATTCTTCAACTCTACGAATCCATCAGTGACGGCATTATTATCAGATTTCGGTGCCGCTTGCACACAGGATACCTGGTGAGTTTGACTCGCTCCGTTTCGACATGCATCTGCTTTGTGCCCAGTCTGACCACACTTAAAACATTTCACTACCGTAGGGCTCGTAAAGATCGTTCGACAGTTTTTCGCGCGATGACCCACTCGGTTGCACAGAAAACATCGCTGAATGCTCTCTGGTGCACGCTTCTTTTCTTCGGGAGCCAATTTCTTCGAATCATCGGGACAATCCTTTTTGACCTTTGCCAAATTAGTGCCACCCTGCGCTTCCAAGAATTGATCAGCCAATTCAAGCATGTCTTCAAGTGAGTCAGCCTTCCTCTCTTTCAGGTACAGTGACAGGCTTGGGTGGCAACTAGTAAGAAATTGTTCTCTAATTAGCAGCTCTCTAAGCTCATCGTACTCCTGTGCTGTCCCTGAAAGTTCAATCCATCTGTCGAAATAATGGCAAAGTCGAGCGGCATACTGCGTAGCCGTCTCACCGTCAGCTGGCTTTCCTGTCCGAAATCTATCCCGGAATCCTTCCACAGTGAATCTAAATCGCTTCAACAAAGCCGCTTTCACCTTTGCGTAGTTGGCTGCATCGGTCGGCGTCAGCCTACCGTACACACTGAGCGCTTCACCACTCAAGCAGGTACTCAAAGCAGTTGCCCATTGCTGTTCCGGCCAATTCTGGCTCCTCGCAATCGTCTCAAATCTGTGGAGGTACGCGTCTAGGTCGTCCTTCCTTTCATCAAACGCTACGAGCAGCTTGCTTGGGTTCAAGCGGAAGCCGTGATCTTCCCGTTCGCTGCTTTCAACTCTAGCTTGGACGGGAGTTTCACTTCGCTGTTGCAAACGGAGCCGCTCGAGTTCCATCTCGTGCTGCCGCTGCCGCTCCCTTTCCTCTCTTTCTTCTCTCAGCTGTCGCTCCCTCGCTTCTCTTTCTTCTCTCGCCCTTTCGGCTGCCAACTTCTTTCTCTCCAGCTCCAACTTCAATTGCTGCTCTCTTTCTTCCTTCAGCTGCCGCTCTTTTGCCTCTCTTTCTTCTTTCAGCTGTCGCTCCTTTGCTTCTCTTTCTTCTCTCGCCCTTTCAGCGGCCAGCCTTTCTCTCTCCAACTCAGCTGCCTTTTCTTCCTTGGCCCTCTCTGCCGCCAACCTCTCTCTCTCCACCTCAGCTTCTTTTTCCGCTTTGGCTCTTTCGACCGCCAACCTCTCTTTTTCCAGCTCGGCTGCTTTTTCTTCTTTGGCTCTCTCTTTTTCTTCTTTTTCCTTCTGGGTGACCCACTTCCGTAGTTCGACGCCAGAAAGACCCATCTTTTCACCAAGAGCAACTAACTTTTCGAGATCCATTGTGTCTCGCAACTCGCAATTAAAACCTTGCCGCGTGCAAAAAGTATCTGCCTAAATCAGTCTATCGGAACACTCCCCTGCACTCGTTAACGAGAACACTGAACAACACACAAAATCGTTCCGATAGCACTATCACAACTCGAGGCTCTTTCTCACTACTTTGGACACACTGTGCACCAAAAGGTCCTGTCTCGCGGACGCCAGATTAATTGTCACACCTGTCCCGTTTATTAGGGAGGCGATCGCCGGGCTAATTCCAAGAGCCGAAGTGTCGGCTCCCCGAACCGCACCACGAAAGCGTGGACAATTTAGAAGTGGTCCTTATTGGCGCGCCAGCAGACGCCGGCTGTGGCCCAAAGAACAAGTCAGAGCCGAGAGTTGATAAACAAACAAAATTATATTCTCAATAAAGGCAGATCAGAAACAATACACAAAAATGCACGCTCCACAATAGTTGCATACAATATGTCACCAATCAAACCAATCAATCACGTACTACACAATACTATCAGCCACACTCAAAACAACGGACACAGACAACAATACGCACCACAATGCAGTCGCATGCATTGAACAACCAAGACACTTAAAGACTAAAGAGATATGTAACCTATTCAGTCCAAAGTCCTTGGAACAAAAGTCTGAATGATACTCTTCCGAGAATCACTCACTCAAAGTCCAGCGTTGTTGTCGTTCCGCGCCCTCTCGAAGTTTCTCTTCCAGGAAACCTCGCCGGAGTTTCTCTTCCAGGAAAACTCCCGTCTTCAATTGGCCACTCTTCAAACTTCAACTTCTTCGCCGGAAAACCGTCGGCTTCACACACGCAGCTGTTGCCCGCGCCTTCGCTCGATAGCGGTAAACCCACGCTCTTGCCTGTAGCTCGAGCCGTCCCTACGGACCAAAAACTTCGCCGACTACACGGCGGACTCTCTACGCACTCTGGCGCTCACTTCCGTCTCCTCCTGTTCTGTCACTACGGCCAGAACCTTCGCCGACTCCACGGCGGAATCCCTTCGCACTCTGGCGCAACTTCCGTCTTCTCCTGATTTCTCGTCTCGGCTGCTCGGTTAAATACCTTGCGCGCGACTTTCCAGATGTTTCTCGTCATTTCGTCGGTGCGATACGCAGCGAAGGCTGGGGAGAGGCACGAGACGGTTCGACTGCCCTCTCCGGAGGATGATTCACTCGGTCTGACCCCGCCTCCTTCGTTCGAGAAAAATCGCGGCCTTGCTGGGCCGCCGATGTGGGGTGAGGAGGATCGTCTGCGAAGCCGTGCTTCTGCGGGAAGAGCGCGCGCCCGGGAGCCCTGGATGTTTGCTTTCTTTTTTTTTTCTTTTTACCTCGCGGCGTTTCAGCCGCCCGTTGTCGCAAGTATTTGGCGGCGCGCTCTTGTTTAGCGCTCGTTCTGTGACAGCGTGGTACGCAGCGTAGCGCTTAGCTAGCCCAAGCAACGTGTTCACCGGATAGAGGAGAGAGGGCAGAAACAAAGAAAAAAAGGAGATAAAGACAGGTGGGACAGGCGTGCGAGTGGTGATGCAGTGAGGTGCTTCGACAGCGGCGGTGGGCTGTGGGCCGAAGGAGCTTCGCTCCTAATAAGCGCTCATGTTGTTAGGCATGGCAAAAGTGTTGTCTGTCTTCCTTGTCACGTTTGTACGTGGTGTTTTCTGTGAACAACGATAGAGAAGTGACCCTGTGAAACAACCATCAGATAAATTTGAATGGTACTAGTCTTATCTTAAAAGAGAAGGTAAATTCATTCCAGAACGGTATTCAGTGGGCCAAGTTGGTCCATCTAACACTGGCTATAGCAGCTGAGCAGAAAACTATATATAGGGACAAGTGGAGGACAAAAATCGAGGACGTCAGTGTCTTCGTTCTCTGCTACCTCTTTCCCTCGTTTTCAGTTCTTCTACTTGGTACAGTGATTCCAGAAGGTTTATTTATTTGGTGCATGAAATATTTTACAGAATTTCTCGAGATTAAGAAAGTTTAAACAAATAAATGAATCGCAGAGATTGCGAATTTGTGCACCCTAATAATAAAATGCAATGATACAACATTCTTATGGTTCCTTTCAGACTCGCCTGCCCGTATTTTTAAAGGACATCCCTTCAGGGACGTCATACAAGAATATGATCCACATGGCGCAGGTGAGCATGGAAACATAGGTATCAGTATGTATCCCGTACTCTCAACATAATTATTATTTAACTCTGTGAACGCTTCATGAAGATTGCAAGGTGCTTACGGGTCCGTCAGGGACAACTTATGCATCTTGTCACCATGTTCAAGCATCTGCTGTGTGTTTAGAAAAAGTGGTTCACGATTTTGAGCACTTGGTGCTCCACTATGGGAGAGCATAGAGCCGTCCCGTGCGCCTCACAAAAGCCCTCTAAAGAGAAAAAGGGCGGCTTCTGCTTAACTGAAATAAAATGGCAGCAGATCCAACGAGACCTTCTGTACGCTTTTCCTGCGTTATACGAATAAAACAGACTCCCCAGCCACTTTATTTTATAGTTGTTATATTAAAATTATGAACTGGTCCTACGTTTCAGAACCCATTCGGTGTTTTCTTGGTGGTGTTCCCCTCTTCACCAGACAAACATATAGTTGTCAAATTTGTTTACCCTTTCCTGAGTACCATGGCTGTTTGCGAAGTTGTGTAGGCTGGGGCAAAAAAGTAGTTGATGCACCGCGGTGCCGCCCGTTGCTGTATTACGCTTTCTATCACAAGTTCTAATACAGCAAAATATTGTCACTTATGTGAAAAACATAATGAAATTGTGTATTTAAGAAGCTGGCGTTGGCGCGCAAGAAGCCTGCACTCGGCTGTGGCTTTTGGGTAATGATAGCTTGCGTTTTACGTGCCAGAACAGCGATATAATTGTGAGGCATGTCAAAGTGGAGAGCTACGGGGATTTCAATCATGGGTTGTCCTTTAACGCACACTGACATCGCACGTTAAAAATGGTAGGTGTAACCTTGAGGCACAAGAAGAGAGCAGAGTGGGTCAGGGAGCGAATGATTGTTAAGGCCACCTCAGTCGGATTCAAGAATATGCATGGGCAGGGCATCTAGCGCTAAAGACTAGATTCCGAGAGAAGGCAAAGGCGTAAGGGGGAGACAGAAAGTTGTGTGGGTAGATGAGAAGTTGATTGGTGGAGGACTCTGCCCTGCAGCGGGGGCAGCCAGACTAGTGGTGGCGGTGGTGGTGATGATGATGATGAAGATGATGATGAAGATGATGATGAAGAAGAAGAAGATGATGATGAAGAAGAAGAAGATGATGATGAAGAAGAAGATGATGAAGAAGAAGATGATGATGAAGAAGAAGATGATGAAGATGATGAAGAAGAAGAAGATGATGAAGATGATGAAGAAGAAGATGAAGATGAAGATTAAGATGAAGAAGATGAAGAAGACACAATGCGACCACCACGGCCGGGATCGAACCTCAGACCTTCGGGTCAGCAGCGATCACCATAACCAATGTAGCCCAGAAGCGGAATAAGGGCAGGACAACTCTTCTAACAGCATTCGGTCAGGATACTGACCCTTGTAAACATTTTCGACCGTGCGGTTTTAGACTAATACTGTTAGGATGACTTTGAAGTGCGACTTTGTGCGCACGTGCTCCCCTCTTTCTTTGTCTCTCCATATTTCAAACTCCCTCATCCCTGTCCTCAGTCTAGGATATAGCATACCTGTCCTTCTAGACTGGTTAACATCTATTCCTTTCATTTCGCTCATCTTTCTTTCTTTCTTTCTTTCTTTCTTTCTTTCTTTCTTTCTTTCTTTCTTTCTTTCTTTCTTTCTTTCTTTCTTTCGGCCACGCGAGAGATAATGTTCCAGACAACGTTTAGAGATACGTTTTCTATAAACGTTGGTTCGAGATGTCTATGACCTTAAAGGGACCCTGAAACACTTCTACAAGTAACCATGGAATGAATGAATTCACTGTAAGAGCTTATTTTCTCTCAAATTCAACGCCGCAAAAGTTTTAAGAATCCGTCCAGTGCGAGTGAAGTTACAAAGGTTTGTCGCATGCTGCAATTGCATTCTCTTATCTCTCATCGCAACGAAAGTGCTGCAAGCTAAGCAGGGAGGGATGACAGGGCCACAGAGAAACGTCACGTGAGCCTTGTGACCCCGAGTGCTTTTCTTTCCCGAAGGCGCGGCTTTCTCAGAGGGATTGCGTGTGCACGCGTGGACAACTAGTGGCCTCCCGCGGCGATCTCTGTCAATAGCTGTTAGATGGGCCAACTACGAGTGAGTTTCGGGCTTATTCCGTGATTTGCTGAAAGAAGAGAAAACAATTCTTAGCCGACTTTGACAATTTATTGTGAATTTTAGGCCGTGGGCTGCGCTATAATATTCGGCTCGCGTGTTGTCGGGAGCCTCTACTACCTCTACTACACGCTCAAGAAGTGTTGCAGAGACCCTTTAAGAGCTTTTTCTCAATTTATATTTCTTTCTCTCTCTCTCTATCTTTCTTTTTTTGCTGCAATTGACAATTCTATCAATTGGTATTCACTAAGCATCTGTCGTAGACGCTTACAACAGGCTACTTTCCGATTTCAGCTCTACGAGACGGGGCGGTTTGCGAAGTTCGACTATGGAGTGAAGCGCAATTTAGAAGTGTATGGAAAGGTAAGATTTTGTTTCAAGAGAATTAGAATTTATTCTTACAGTGCAGATATTGTGTACACCACCGCTGTTACGTGCTGCAATAGTCATGTGACAATCCACACTAAGGTAACGTGAGCGTCTATATAATCACATTGAGTGATGCGATTCCAAAAGCAGTGCGCGCAGCGTAATAGCGAAAAGGAATAAGCTGTCATATCTTTATCTGCTGGAAGTGAGCCTTATGGCAAGGCGAGCCACTGTGCTGAAGTAATAGCTAGTTAATTTTCAATGGTATGATTATTGAGCAATTGATGAGCTTTAGAAATTGAAAGGAAACATCTTTATAGCTATACAAAAACTCAACCTCACGCGTTGTCTGGTTTGCAACGTAAGCATTGTGCCCGGTGTGGTGCTGCTTGACAGCAGTGCATTCTTGAGGCTGTTATATTTTTCAAGAACGATGTTAATTCAAATCAGCATCTTTACTTTTGTTGCACTATATAGTTAGTTTCTTGCACTATCTAGGTGGTCCAATTATAGCGATACTAGCCATATAATTGTGCGGTTGTTCAGTAATGTAAAAGGGGGGAAAGATGAATATCACTGGTACTGCGTCATCAAAAGGGACACGGCGGTGACATTCGAAGGACCGGCCACAAAAACAAGAAAAAGCAAAAAAACACTGAGCTGTACTTTTTGTCGTCGACGCGCTGTTAACACGCTGACGGTGGTAGCAACACATTACGATCTCAAACAAACCGAACGCAGAGAATTATCCAAAATACGTCTGAGAAGCAATACTGGCCGTAATTGAGCTACAAGTACCGATGTTATTATTATCGTTATTGTTGTAGTAGTAGTTGTTGTCGTACCCAATTTTTATGCTATTTTTTCATATTATTCTGTAACAATGCAGTACATAAACGTAGCCCTTCGGAGCGTGAAAGGTGTTGATAGATATTTTCCACGAAGAACAGGCAGATAGGTAGAAAAGAAATAAATAAAATAAATAAATAAGCCCAATCAAAACAGCATCCCTTTGGTCAAGTTGTTGCATGGCATTTTCTGGTGCTTATTAGAGTACAAGTAAACCACACCATAACTAGTTATCCCTTGTTTTATTTCTCTCTGCAGTAGTTGCATATTCCATAAAAATGTTGACAAAGCCCGCCGCAATACAAGTTAAGAGGCAGAGACGTTTGAACACAACCGAACGCGTGTGTTTCTCATTTGTTATCTGCCATGCCGCAATATAGGCGACACCGCCGGAGTACGACTTGCGACGGGTGTCGGCGCCCGTGGCCCTGTTCTGGACCCAAGGGGACGCCCTAGTACCGGCCGCGAACCTGGGTTTCCTGCGCGACACGCTGCCCAACCTGGTGCTCGACTTCCGGGTGGAAGATGACCGCTTCAGTCACCAGGAGTTCGCCATCGGTGTCACCGCCAAGGAAGCGGTCTACGAATGGCCTGGTGGACTGTCATGCGGCGATTCACCGGACAGGCCTCCTAGAGCTGGCACGTCGAGGATCCTGAGAAGCGAATTCTCTGGCGGAATTCGCTGGCCTGTTTGCTCAAAACGACGAGAACATGATGTGATATGCAAAAGTGGTATATAATATTGTGATGTCTAGCATCAAACGCCAAGACCGCAAAACGGTATGGATACATGGGATGAATCTCGCATATGCAGATACACCTGAACACAAGAACGGGCATTGAAAACGTTGGGCCACTGACGATGTTAAATTTATATATGTCCTGCGTATTCAAAGCGTCGAGTGAGATTTGAAAAAGTAAAAAAAATAATACGTGATGAATAACCTAGGTCAACGAACCAAAACGTTTCATGCATGCTATATTCCCACAAGTGCGGGCTGAGTTGGCCGATCACGTGAGCATCAAACAATCACGAATGCTTCTGTGATACACAACATCAGAGCCAGAATTGCGCTGAACTGCTCGTTCGTTTCTTTCTCAGAAGACACTCGCATGTAGGTCTCGTTATCGGACAGGGACAGAAATGAGTTTGACTGACGTACAGTTCGTGCTGGGCTGTACGCATTCTCTTTATTTGTACGATTACACATTGTATATTGTTCGCGCACAATAAATAATCAGTCGGCAGTGCTGTAGTCATCTCCCCTGCGGTTTTGCCCACCTAGTTAGTGCAATAGTTGGTTTCAGTTGTTATTGACTGAATGCTTCCGTGCTACTATATAACGAACACGCACAAGAACACCAGAGAAGTACTGGACAATCACAAGTTGTCCTGTTTCTTTTTATTTAGCCTCCGTGTCAGTGTTCGCGAGTAATACGAAAGGATTCTCGCATACCTCATTCAAACCCCCGTCCACACTATGGTTGTTGTCACGCCTTGGACGACTGATACGGGCCGTATGGTGGGTTTAGATCTCGATTACGCGGGGACTCTGTAGCAAGATTACTAATTACGGAGCCCGTGACTTACAAGTGCCACGTATTAATACATGTACGATTTGCTGAAAAAACTAATAGATCTCACACGGTCCACACTCCGTGCTCGGTAACGTGTGCAGTGAGGAGAAACCGTCTGGACTTCTCTATTTAAAATTCCTTGAGACCCGCCCCATCATTTCCAATATGCATATTTTTAAAGGTGGCAGTTAGTCACTTAGGCGCGCCACGGTAAAGTTAAATGCGCCGTTGAGTGGCCAATATATGCCAATATTTGTGTGCGCGGAAGGTAAAAACCAGACTTTTTGAGTGTGACCTGCAAAATATATGAGGTGTGTATGCAAATAATAAGGTCTACGAACTTCCAGGCTGCATTGCAATCCTCAAAATAAATGTGTACTGTGATTTGAAAATGTGCATCTGAAGTACTAAAGGATGCCCATCTTGGAGTGCAACGCTGATCTTCTAAAAGTAACGCAGAAATGTTAAATGTCATAAAGTACCTTTCGTGGCTCTTCAAGTTGTACATGAGTATTGTGACACATTGTATGATTTAGTGAACGCTGATGACACTTTTGTAGTAAGTCCTATATGTCCTGTGTTACCGTGATTAATATGCTGTATCGTTATTATATAAGCATAAAGAGAATCAAGTTTGGTATTCTACATGATCTGTAAGTGCAAATATATGAGTATTCGTCCTAAATTTTAGGCGCGTTCATGAGGTAAGTATGAGGCAAGGACCTGTTTTGTGTTCAGAGACCAATATTTATCTTGTAATACACAACTTTAAAAAGACAAAATCAGTTTATTAGAAAAGTTTTATGTCATTCAGCCCAATGTACAACAAAGCTTTCATTTTCTCAGTGAAACAGTCAAAGAATACGACCACCTGATTAAATCCAACCTAACCTCCCCCAACCCTACCTGCAACAACACAAACAAAACACAAGCATATCTGTTCATGTTTAGTAATGTTGTGGAATTAAACACCCAATTAAGCTTGGCCTGCAGACATGGAGCTTAGGATTCAACTACAAGGGTGAACCAATTTCGCTGTGTTTTCATAGATCCGAGTGGTAATGGGGGCGGCAAACTAAGTTCTGTTGACCAGTACCGTTTTCCTTCGAACAAACTACAGCCAAATTTTGGTCAAACATGAACGACTATATGTACCCACGGGTTCAAGCCATTTCAATACAGACCGGTCATGAAAAGCAGCACAATTTTAATCCCGGAACTACATTGCTCAAAGAGAGGAGCGCGTTTGTACGTGACACGATACTCACGCAACAAGGCGATATGCATGACTGACTAAGTATATCCAAATGTTCGTTGCCTATGTTTTGACTATATACTGTGCCAGCAAGGTCTATAAATCCCTGCCTTCCGCGCAATGTCCTGCTTCAGATGGCTATGCTACGAAGTAATGCGTACGACAGGCACGGCACAGTTTTGTACGCTATAATTTGCAACAAGCATCAAACGTTGTGCGTAGTCACCGCTACGCGCTGCTGCAGGATGTCCGGCTATAAATTATTCGGCCGTCTAATAAGACGTTCCTGTTGCCGTGTAGAATACGTTAGCCGGCACAATCTGAGGCTTCCGAGATACGCGCCCAAACATAGTATTTCGCATAAACCGAGACCGTATACAGAGGGCGACAATCAAATGCGGGGAACCGAACCACTGTATAAGCTAGCGTCGTATACTTACTATCATCAACGGATGCTCATATCTTTCACCCTCTGCCACACATACGTTAGTATTATTTGGCTATTTTTATCTGTTGTCTAGTTTAAATGCAGGTGACTGATTCTTGAGTAGATATTGAGCCCACTCCACCACCATATATTTGTGTTCTACCTCAAACCCATGCTACTGCATCCAATCTTGGTGTCATGTGTGAACCGAACAATGCTCCTTAACTTGCAGAAAAATAAATGATTTAGACTGGAAATTCCGCACTTGCGATTAACTTCCCGGAAAGCCACGGGCTTAACAAATAATAAGCACACAGCACGACTGCTTGGGTGAATGACCAGTGTAATGGCGTGATTTCTGTGTGATATCCCTTGTGCGCAGCGTGTATGAAATATTGTTCTTTATGACCACAACAGTAGCATGAGGGGCGTAGCATGCTATAATAAAGACCAGAATACGAAGCCGCTTTCCATTTTTCGCGATGGTGGCGCCGCGCTGTGAGCGCTGGCATGTGCACGGCGGGCATACGGCGAATCCTTGCACTATAGCGAAATCGAGAACAGTGGCAATGGCTTGATCTTCAAACGAACCATAGACGCTAAACCTTGTGAACATTTAAGTTATAGCTGAATGATGTACGCATGACAAAAGCAATAGAACACGCATCCGATAGAAGGCGCGCTGAAAAGATTTCTTGGAGCAATCGTCGCACGCAGTCCGACGTGTGTTCGCTTGCGGAAGATTAGATTAGGTTTGTTGGGTTTAACGTCCCAAAACCACCATATGATTATGAGAGACGCCGTAGTGGAGGGCTCCGGAAATTTCGACCACCTCGCTTGCGGAAGACACGTATTGGTTTCCGTCCACCATGGGCGAAATATTTGATTAGATTCAGAGCGCCGGGAAGTACCAGTAATGACTGAAAGATAAAGTAATGCCAGTAAGCATGTTACAGCCGCTTACAATGTCGCTGTGTGGTGTTACATAGACTCTTTCTTGACATGGCACTATTGTGGCGAATATTTCATTGTTGCCACAAGCGCAGTGGAGCGCTAGATTTCATTTGTGTTTCCATAAGCTTATCTTAACATGGTAGCTGTCTTAAAAATGCCTTTATTATCGTGTTTAAGGATCGTATTTAATGATCTGACGAAGCTAACTATATTGCAGTGAAGCAATGTCTTCTTGTTTAGCCTATCTTCCTTGGAAGTTCGTCTTATTGCCTTAGTGGGCTACGCTATATCCGTGATAAAGGTACATTTTTCTGTATATTCGATAAAAAAAAAAGGAGTATTGATGGTTTTTTCTGCCACGCAAGAATAATCGTGATCTCATTTGCCAGCGTTTCCCTTTCTGAACGGCTAAGTGGCCTCCGCATTTATGTCAAGTTTGCTATGTCATGTGAATAGCACAAATTCTGTTCACGACAAGGCAAATACCGGGCACGTAGCGATAACGGAAGAAAAGCAAAAAACAGAGCATACGGCAATCGTTGGGTAGAAACTTCCTGGCCCGCCGGTCACGAGATTTTCACGCATTTGCTATTGAGGTGAAAATGCTTGAGGCCCGTGTGCTTAGATGTAGGTGCGCCTTTAAAAACCCCAGGTGCATGGTCAAAATTGCCGGAGCCCTTTACAACGGCGTCTAGCTCTCATAATCGTAAAGTGGTTTTGGGTCGTTAAGCACCAACAATTATTATTATTATTATTATTATTATTATTATTATTATTAGTAGTAGTAGTAGTAGTAATAGTAGTAGCAATAGTAATAGTAGTAGTAGTAGTAGTAGTAGTTTTCATAGTTTCACACTGGCTCCGGGATCGGAGGCACTGCCAGCTTTCTGAACGTCACCCGGGTTCGCACGGCCTCCGTCATCGGTGAGCTGATTACGGAGGCACTAGAAATGAAGGAACACAGCTGCGTATAGCGCGACGCTAGGAATGTTAGGTGCGTGTTAATAGTGACAAACAGGTCAACACTTACGTTGAGAAGCTGGCTCGGCTCAAAGTTTTCGAAGTTGAAGGCGATTCCCCATTTCCTTCACTTTTGAGGCGCAGCCGGAAATTGGCGCAATGAGAACAGGTACACGCCACGTCGACACGTTATACCGCGCTTGCATTGGTGAGCAACGCAGATTTTATCCAACAGAAGCCCGCGTTTGCGTTGGCTCTTCGTGGAGCCAACGAAGGTAAGTACAATGCCGTCCGAGCGAGTAGCTTTTGCACATCTTCGCTACTAGCCGAAATCACTGATTAAAACAGCAAACAAGCGCGACGCACGAATGGAAGCACACGTTAGCCCGTCGATGGCGTCGGTTTCCGCTTTCCACCCCAAGAGGTGACGCCTGGCAGTGAAAGTACAGAAGCGCGAACGCAGCCTGCGTTTGAGAGTAAAATAATCTGGTCGATAGGCCAGTCACTATCGGAATGGTACTATGATGTAGCATGCTAAGATAATACACAGCATGGATACTAGGCTATAGCACTTCGTGGCTGTAACCTTTGCGCATTTGAGAAGTGTAGTTTCAATGCCGAGGCTCGGTAAAATCATAATCACTCAAACTTTCGATATGCTATGAGTCAGCATAACTTGCTGGGCGAAGTTGAACTTACCCGAAGTGAAGAAAGAGGCAAGGTGGCATGCGAGCCCCGCCGCGGTGGTCTAGTGGCTAAGGTACTCGGCTGCTGACCCGCAGGGCGCGGGTTCGAATCCCGGCTGCGGCGGCTGCATTTCCGATGGAGGCGGAAATGTTGTAGGCCCGTGTACTCAGATTTGAGTGCACGTTAAAGAACCCCAGGTGGTCAAAATTTCCGGAGCCCTCCACTACGGCGTCTCTCATAATCAAATGGTGGTTTTGGGACGTTAAACCCCACAAATCAATCAATCAAGGTGGCATGCGACATATTTAGAAGAGCAGCTTATCGATGTAGGCGCATTCAGCAATTCATTGCGCAGCGGCATAGATATCAGTATAGGCACCCGGCAATACAGTTTACGAGATCAGACGGTAGTGCTAGACGGTAGTGAGATCAGACGGTGGAAAAACCTTCTATAGCCTCTATAGTAGCGCCACAACACACAGTCTAGCGAGTAGTCGCAGCAAAACCGGACTTGCACGTGCATATTTTCTTTTTTAGTTGTGGGCAGGGGGTCACGGCTGATTATGTAAGCGCCCAGGAAGCGTTCTTTGACAACGCGCCAAAAAGGGCATTGACACTTCAGCGTCTCGATGTGTTCAGCGAGAGATTCATTTTTTTTTTTTGGTATCCCTTGCGGTCGGTACCAACAATGCTGAGGCGACCCAAAATAAGGTCCCCAGATGAAACAACTTGTTTCATCTAGGGACCTTAGCCCAAAAACGTCACCACGCCCTCTGGTCCACTGTCGGCTGCCTATAATGGGACGCTCGAAAAAAAGTGAGTGACGTAGCCTTACCTTCTATGCTTCCAGACACGATTCGCGTGCGACAACACAAAATCAGTGTGTGTATATTACGAATTCGCGAAGTGATGTCTTTGCTAATTAAAAAACTGCTATAAATGAGGTAACTTCATTTAACCCAATAAATAGGAACGTATATTGTATAGCCACACAGGTAGGCAAATGGGAGAAATTGAGTGCGCGCATATGTGTGCGTGCGTGTACGTACTTTCTTCGACGATTAGCACAAGACACCGGAGGAATCATACAGCGCGAATGCCGCACATCGCGGAACACCATGAATGTTGTTCCAGTTTCTTTTAGATTTTTTTAAATGCGAAGAATTTCTTAGCGAGCATCGGCGACTTTCAGTCTATCTATCTATCTATCTATCTATCTATCTATCTATCTATCTATCTATCTATCTATCTATCTATCTATCTATCTATCTATCTATCTATCTATCTATCTATCTATCTATCTATCTATCTATCTATCTATCTATCTATCTATCTATCTATTTATCTATCTATCTATCTATCTATCCATCTATCTATCTATCTATCTATCTATCTGTCTGTCTGTCTGTCTGTCTGTCTGTCTGTCTGTCTGTCTGTCTGTCTGTCTGTCTGTCTGTCTGTCTGTCTGTCTGTCTGTCTAGCCGCCTACGACTTTTAGCTCTCCTGGCCATTTCGATAATGGTATCGATACCAAAATTGGTATGGCAAAACATAACTGTATGAAGAACCCATTTGACTGGTCATAACATGAAAATCATGATATGTATGTCATGAATGTCATGATTTACATTTCATGGTCCTGCAGCTCTTGCGGTCGTTTCGTTCACAAGTCTTGTTGCAAAACTGCTATGGTATTACATGATTGCGTGGCGAACACAAGCGACAGACTCCAACATGAAAATCATGACTTGCGTGTCACGTAACAACATGACTGCATGCCACGCTCATGATGCGTTCACGGCCGTTTTGCTAGCGTCACACATACCAAATTTCGTATTACAGTACGTGAATGGATGACGAAGGTATGGGGCAGGTGCAAACGTGATAATCATTATATGCGTGTCATGTAACAACATGACTACATGCCACACTCATGATTGCTTGGCGGCCATTTCGCTGGCTTCACTCACACCAAATGTGGTATAACGGGACGTAAATGAATGACGAAAGTATGATACTGGTGCAAACATGATAAACATGAGATGCGTGTCTTGTAACAACATGACTACATGCTACGCTTATGATGCACTCACGGCCGTTTCGCTAGCTTCACATGTACGAAACTCGGTATTACGCGGCGCGAACGAATTACATAAGTAAATGACAGATCCTAACATGATAACCACGACCTGCGTGTCATGTAACAACATGACTTTGTGCGACATGGATGATGCGCTCGCGGCCGTTTCGCTAGCTCCACATATGCTAAATTTGGCATCACGTGACGTGAAAAGATGACGAAGGTAAACGACACATCTAAACAGGATAATCATGACACGGAACTCACGTACGGCATCATTCATTTCCACCTCGTAACGTTATGCTGATTTTAATGTTACATATCAACATTTCTCATTCGTGCTTCGCATATCATCGATTCCCACTGTGCGTGGGATGTGCCCATTTTTAATGTCACCTCACCAAAATTTCCCGCCGTGTCACATCCACCAAGCAGCTCCCATCACAATTACAGTTTTCTTTCTTTTCTTCGTTTTTTGGCAACTTGAAGCACCTATTTGAAGTTGCTGCTCAAATTCCCAAAAGATAAGTAGGTTCAGAGGCCCTACACGGGGCTGCAATACAGCATCGTGCAGGGCCTCTGAGCATGTTGATAATGCTTCACGAGAGTGTGGAGCCCCAAGCGGTCCGGGGTTGCCAAACAAACAAATTAACAAACAAGTAAACAAACTGATCAATAAAATACCCAGTCTCGTTTATGCATTCGCCTAATGTAACCCGAAGGCGAAATCCATTTTTTTTCTCTTCTCATCCAGTCCTCTCTGTCGTCTGCCCCCGCCTCCACGAAAGCTTTCTCCACCTACCGTAGTCTTACGCTGCCTCCAAGATCTGAGGCGGTGCAATCTTTCTGCACCTTACCTCGCTGTGCACGGCCTACGTGATCAGCCCACTTTAGACCGAGCGGCGACGTCACGTGATGGATTCATCACGCAACGTCACTATGACGTCGCGTGATCACGTGAGGTTTTCGCGATTGGTCACGTCATTAAGTGATTCTTTTATTAATCATCCGTGTTGATGCGGCCGACAGTCAGGTCTATCGTTTCGCGAGGCATCTAAGACATTCGCCTGAATAAACCAATGTCTATTTGCCGACTGTACTGCAAGTAGGTCCTTAATGTGCGCTGCTATATACCCCGGTTTGTTTCTTTCTTTTTTTCTTGTTAATTGTCACATGTTATTTGTTCATATACAGGCTCTCGCGCTTGCGAGCATGGTTCGCGTAACGGTGCGTCCGTTTCCTCCTCCCCATCTCCCAGGCACGCGCGAACGCTTGCGCTGGCACAATCCGGAACGCGCCCGCGGCGAGCCAGAGGCTGCGTCAGACGTGTGTTTATAACGGCCCAGCGATAGGACACGCGACTATAGTGTTTCGAAGGTCGAGCCGTACGTCTCTGCGAGGATAACGCGGAAAGGGAAGAGGAAAGATGGCGGCATCGCGGGATAACTACAGCTATACGTACGCCTTTCTCTATTTCTCTTTCTCTCCTTCCGTGCAAGAGAACGCGAGGGCCGCCCGACTTCAGCGAACGAGGGAGACATCGGCTGATATGGAGTTGGTGGTTTGACACCCTTCTGTTTAGGCGACGACCGATTCCGGGATATATCGGCCGCGTCTCTGGGCGGGTGTTTTGTTTTTTCCCCTCAAAGGAGCGATTGCTGTCACCAAATCGCCCAATTCGGAGCGGTCGCCAAATCGAGTGTTTGCCGCCGCCGTCGTCGTCAGGCGCCAGGTGAGAGCACTCGATTTTCCTCAGAGTTACCTGACAAACTTTGCGTCGACAAACTCTGCATAACAAAAACAGCTAGGTTCAATTGTAGACACGTTAACGCCATTGCAACATTTCTGGACCTTGAATGCCTTGATACCAATGTTGCTTTTCGCCAGCGGGTTGTCTTAATTAAGTTATTCACATTGTCTCTACTGCAATCATGATGAATGTGCATCCAGACACATGCGACTCTCATATTCGAATTCTGGTTACGTAATATTCGCGCGGTTCTCTCAGTACGCATCCCTAATTAATGCAATCGATATGGAACATGTTATAGGAGTGGGTTTACTGTACGTGCATCACGCGTATGAGGTTTCGTTCGTGTTGAAGTGATTCTATAGTGTAAAAAATGATACGCATTAATTGAGTCGCTTATTGACATGATTAGCGTTAAAGGGCTCGTTTATAAGAAATTGATTTTTCGGTGTCGTTGGTCGTGAGCGAAAAATCAGCATTTTTCATGACCTAAACATCGAGAAAGAAATGTGAATAAAGTGAACAATAAATATCATGGCTTCCAGTGGGAATCAATTGCAGACCTTCAGAGTCGCAATCATGGTTTCTTCCACATATTTACCCATGCGATTGTTTGGAAATGCTAAAAAAAAAAAAACGCTATATGAATGTCATATGACGGGAGAAGTTCCCCTAACACACGTAATACTGCGTGGCCGAGCGCAGAATAACGCCAGGCGTCAAAATACGTCGATAGCGCAACGACAGGATGTTTGAGAGGCCCACCCCTCACGAAGCGCGCAAATATATTTAATCGTCATAATCAACAGCAAAAGCATAGGCAAAGTAGGTTTGCGTTAGTTTGTGCGTTGCCTTAAAGGCGCGTATTGATACAAAGAATTATGGCAACCGTATACTCGCTGTAGGCTTTCTAGGATATATTGATTTGAAGCGACCAATGTTACGTGCGCAGTCATCGGTTTCCTTGCTGCACGATTGTGGCATGCACCGAGAACCGAAGCCATGGTGGCGATTGAGACAGCAGTGTGCACGGGGATAATTACGCTATCGCGTTCTACTCTCGAAGGCAATGCTCGGGAGTCCTCCAATTTTTCGCAGCCTTCAAGCGCGCGCGTTATCATGGTGAACTAACTGCAACTCGTACGCGCGCATTCCGTATTGCTACGCATTGAGACCGCTGCTCCGAAAGGCGAATAGATTGTGTCGTACAAAAACAATAGAAAGGAATTCGTGCTTATACTGCAGCGCCCACTTTGTCAGGAATTTCGCTGTTTTATTTCTTCGACAAGAGCCGCAAAAGCGATGTGTCAAGATTGGACTAACTGGCGGTCACGAGCCCGCAGATATAAAGTGAAACGCAACACGCGCGAGCCCATGCGTAGGCCATTGCGTCATCCTCTGCCGCGGCACTCTTCTTGCATCTCACTGGGCCGATAGTGTTCATTATCGCCCGACGCACGGCTGCTTGCCGTTTCCTTTTTCTGAAATATAACTGGCGCAGTGGCGCAAGGTCTGAACACGAGTCTTAGCAACAGCTCATTCCGCTGATTGTGTGCAAAGGACTCATTCAGTGGAGAGACGTTTCGTGCAACCGCTGAAGTCGCGCGTACATTTAAATTCCTTTCAAAGCAAGGCAGATGTTCAAGGAAGCATCGTGCATGAATGCGCTTTCGCTTCAAGGCTTGAATTACAGGCACGGTGCTAAGGAAAGCAACGGCTTCCTTGATAAGGACAAGTCTGCAGCTAGAAGCGTTGACTCCAGTGACAGTTCCTGTTAAAATATTTTTTCAAATTTATTTCAAATTCCTATTGTATACAATGTGATTTATATGTTCTGTTCACATTAGGCACTGGGAGGTACGTGAATGCCACTTCTGCGAGCATGTTGCGCCTTCTGCGGTACACAAAGTGATATGTTGTCGCAGCCAGCAGCCAAATTAAGAAAGCCCGACGAATGAGCATTTTAGTGTCTACACGACGCGGACATGTTTCTAGTGAAGACCTGCAGCCATTAGTTTTTTGACTTGGAATAATTCTCCTAGCACGTCTGCGCTTTCGCATATCAGGCCGCTAAGTTTATATAACTGTATCGTGTACGCACGATTACACATGCAAGATATCAAGGATGACGTAAAGCTTGTTCCTCATCGCAGTGATAACCTCGAAAGCGTGCGTTCAATTACCGACCAAGGCTGCCTCATTTCAATGGAGACGAAGTTCAAGCAAAACTCGTTTTTTTTTTTGCATTTGAATGAACTTCAAGAGTACCGCAGATGGTCAAAATTAAACCAAACTGGACCAATAGGATGTACCTCATGAGTCATTCTGTGCCCTGTATGCCATGTCGAAAAAAAAAATTGGGAGATTGGATGAGAAGGGGGGGGGGGGGTCATGATCCCAGTGTGTCATGTGGCTACGGCCCTGCGTCAAAGGCGCAGGGAAAGATAGTAACGATTACCTGTTCACCACCGGCTGGCGATATTCAGGAATGGAATTTCGCGCCCATCCCAAGTGCATGCATGCGTAACCATGAAAACCGCAATCAAATTTTATAGCTGGATAGCTTGAAGACTTTTGTCAAGTGGAACTCAGTATAAGCAGGAGGGCCTCATTAAGTACAAACCCACTCCCTCACCACAGGCCATGCAAACTTGGTTATTCAATTTCAGTTAACTGGACGGCTAAGAACGCCGATCATTTAGCTTTGTGTCCCTCTGGACGCATAACTTGTTTGCGTAGGTGTTATTCACATAGCTACCAGCGCTGAACTTGATCAAAACAATAAAGCCTACTTTCGATCAGCCGTCCAAGCAATGAACAAAAGAAGCGCAAGCGTTTCAGAAACTTGTGCTTCTTAGAGGCAGCTGTAGCAAGCCGACAGATAATGAAGCTAAGAAAAACACACGGTTAAATAAAGTTTTTTATTGTAATAACAAAGGAAAAGAAAACAAAAAATTAAAAAACGGTCTTTTAACCTGTTGGATACAAACTCCCCAACGTTCGCGTTGTTGCATGCAGAAACTGCACTTTATGAGCACGAATTTTTTGAAATGACATTATTAACTCCGCCATTCGCCACTTCCGAGAGTACAGCTCCGAGAACAAGCGATTAAGAAAATAAGTTGCAAAACTGATTACATACGTATACGGCAATAAATGAATGTGCTCAATCGAGTTGGTTGAGTTTGCAACGCATCCAACTAAAGTGCCGCGTAGCATCACACGTGCAGAGTGTCAACGATAACATGCAAACGAATTTTGTAGAGCACCTATTGTTCGGCTGGGTCACATTCTTTTTTCTTTTTTATTTTCGTTCTCTTCCAGATAAGCGGCAAGGCTCGGGTAGCGGCGCAGTCAGGGCAGCCAGTGTCGTGTCACACGCCGAGAGTGACCATGGCGTTGATCGTGATCAGGGGCACATGCATGGTGATGCTCGCCGCTTGCCTCGCTACCGTTCTGCTGCTTCTACCGTCGTCCGTCCGTGGTCAAGTCTGTCGAGTGCCGGGTTTCGAAAACAAAGGTCCCATCGATCCAGATGCGTGCAGGAATGTTGTGAGTGTCCGACTCGAAGTTTTCTAGCTGTGTGTGTTTATTCCGTGTTTGTAAACAGTGGCAGGCGCCGTCGACATACTGCAAAATTGCCTGCCATCTTCCGGGAGACTATCGAATGTTCACACGGTAAGCGTCAAAACAGAAATGGAAAAAAAGTATTTGCGAGGATTAACACAGATCCATGATTTACTTGTTGCTTCCCTTAGATTCCGCTCGAGAAAACAAGTTCTTCGCTTGCACTACTAACAATTTGTTTTTACATTCGATCTTTTATTCCCTAACCGTACGAGCCCCAATATGACAGCATCCATGTATGTATCGCCGCATGGCTGTTTTCGCCGACAAACCTAGGACATCCTTCTTGCTGCAAGTGATTACGCTTATATTGTAAAACAACAGTATATGAAATTAGCAATTATAACTTTAGTAATTAAGGTTTCAACAAGACCTAACGTAGATCGGGCAGGCAGGCTCCCATCAGCTCATTATCTTACAGTGTTTGATTATGATACGGATAAGAGAGCTTAACGCAGAGATACTGGAAACGTTACGAGTCTAGTGGTTCTCTAAGAATCGATAAACTCCTTATCTTCGGATGACCGCTGCGGAGTGGCTCAAGGCTAGCTGATAAGGAGAGCACTCCGACTTCTACTTGTTGAGCGATGGCCAGGGAATCTGAGCTACTTTACGGCATGCGAACGTTCTTGCCTCTGCCACGTTAAACTGTGTGGTCCATTCGCAAGCCCTTCGTCGTAGCGCAATGTTACCGTCACTAGGCCATTCGGGAGAAGCGCAGTCGTCGGCACAGGCTCACCACAAGTTTATTTTCGTAGAAGGCTAGCCGATCGTGTCTGCGCCAAGTGAACTGTGACACCATCGTGGAGAAACTGGCGGAAGAATTAATGGATAAAAAAAATTACCTGTTTTCGGGACGTTTAGGTCCGTGAAGCTGCTGCATATTTCTTGCTCAAGGCTAGCTTTTCAACTTGGAAAGAAGTATGCAAGCGCACCGCACGCATCATCCCGGGAGCACATTTAGGGTATTGAAGGTTGCTAGTCACAGCCATACGTATAGAGGCAGAATAGGAAGGCGCTGAACACACAGAGGTCAATTTCATGTTTGATAAAAATTTAGGCATAATCGCACTAATTAAAACGAAAATAACCGTAGAGGTCATCTTCATCTCCAAAACTAGTTAGGCCTATACAAGACTTTGTGTTTCTTTTGAGAGACGACCTAGTCTGTATATATTACACTCAGTGTCCTTCGAGTTATTGTTTGTACACCATTAAAATGGTATTAGTACCTGGCGTTTCAGATAATCTGGTTTTAAATTCGAGGCAATTCTTTGCGTACTGTGAACGCTTTTGGAATCTATCTGCGTATCTATCTGTCTGTCCGCTTACGTGTGGGTGCTGTTGCGATCACCGCCTCAACTTGGCGTCAACCAAAATTAGTATGGTAGGGTAAGATGATTTTACGAATATGACACGCTGATTGAGAGATGAATAATGTCACAATCCCGTCGCGTACGTTGTCAAACACTTCCCGTCAGACAGTTGCACATACTCACCTGAGTATGTGCAACTGTATATGTAGGTGATTGGTATGGTATGTGTGCAACTGTATGTGTAGGAGTATGTGTAGGTGATTGACATTTAGTATCTGCCAAGGAACGACCAGAACACACATGGGCATTAACACGGGAGCGTTCAGAAAAAAACTGACATCGGCAGTGTTGACCCTATTAATGCAAAGGTTAAATGTCAGTGCCCCAGCAGGAATCGAACCCAAGAATTCTGCGTGGCAATCAAGCATTCTACCACTAAGCCAAGCCAGGTCTCGGAACTGCTTTTTCTATGGGCCATAATGTTCGTGAAACTTCAATTGTAGTTGCAGTGTTGGCTATCCAATTTTATAAACATTACATACGTACTCCTACGATACAGTCGTAACGCCGGCTTAACGTCAATCGTGTCAGGTGCCATGCGCTGAAGTTTATCGATATCACAATGTCCACGCCTATCATTCTCGACAACACCAGCACTTCGTATCAGCTTGTCGCTTCTGGAGTTGCTAAAACTCATGTTGATGTTGGCATCGTTGCGCAAGTGCAAACGACTGGTTATATAGATATCAGCAGCACTTCAGCATATGCGCGTGCAACATTTATAAATATATTTACTGTCATTTCATGACGTGTCACTCAATAAGAAAATTACCACGCGGTACCTTTGGCAGATGCCACGTACCTCTGGAATCGACGTTATGCGAAGCACAACGTCTATGATGATGTTCCGACACCATGGTCTCACGTAGACCATTTTTCAGTGTTTTCATAGAAATAACTCGTACGTACATCTGAGCCTGCAAGCCTGATGTCACGCACTCGCTCCATTTTCTATTCCCTTCGCTTCTTCCTCAGACGGAAATCATCAGAGACAAGGGCTACCCCGTGGAAGAGCACAAGGTGACGACCAGTGATGGCTTCGTCCTCAACATCCAGCGAATACCGGACGGCCGCAAGTCGCGCCACGCCAAAGGCCCGAAGCCGGTGGTCTTCCTCCAGCACGGTCTGCTCAGTTCTTCCGCAGACTGGGTCATCAACTTTCCCCCGGAGAGTCTCGGTAACTTGCCAACCAACTGTTATTTTAAATTATCACACTCCGTTGCAGTCAACGCTGTGGAGGCTACTAGGGAAGTTGGATCAGCGAAAATGTACAACTCCGCACGTCTCCCATATAGCCGCGTGTGAGTGATCGTGCGAGCAGCGCTATGATGCGCGCGCGCATTCGGACGCATGCATCAGGGTCTGCTCGCAAGGGCACTTCCAACGATACGCGTATCAAACGGCGTGATGCTTCACCTGAAAACGCAAAAAAAAAAAACGAAGACGATGAAGCAACAGTTAAAACAGAACTTAAAGGGCCATTCAACAGGCTCCGGAACGCGCAGGATAAGCTCGCGCATCTTTCGCACGCCTGACCAGCCTTCTTCCACACGCAGTGACGTAAACTCGGCGATCGGCGACGCTGACTAAATTACTCTTTATTGAGACCTGGTTCAGACCAATCGACGAGCTGCGTGCTACGTGACCTCTCCGATCGCCGAGTTGACGTCACTGCGCGTTGAAGGAAATTGGTCGAGCGCAGGGAGAATGCGTGAGCGCTTATCGTGCGCGTTTTGTAGCCTGTTGACTGGCCCTTTAAACACTGCGAGTCGTACAACGACGTGTTAACAGCCGTATTACACAGTTATTTTTGCCTGAACAGCAAAATCTTTTAATTTATCGCTCCGCATACTGAAAGAAATTACATGATGCCGCGAAACAAGAACGTATTATCTCCTGGTGCAAATATATCTAATGTATACTGCAAGAAGACTCGCTGGCCTCCACACTCCACATTGTTGATTGGTATGCGTGGAACGAAGTATAGTCAGTAACAGAGGTCATGCATAATTATACCAACCGCACTACAGTTAACGCTCCAATAGGGGGACACTTGTCGAGAGTTGATGCCATGATGAAGACACCATATCTACGTTCCAAACGTCAAGTCCAGGGTAAAGTTTCGTTTGCTCCGCCATCGCTTGTAACTCTTGAGTGTACTTGATCTGAGGACCATATCAGGTTGCTTCTATGTTGCAGTAGTGAAATGTCAAACAAGGCACGGAAAATTAGTGTTATTACTACAGCTTCGTAAGTGGCATCGCAACATGTCGCTTGCAGACTGGAGAACATGTTCGTTGTATAAGGGCACTGTTGCTCAAGTTCGAGCGGTACTCTCAAACTAGCAACGCAAATCAACCCTTGCCCATGAGTTAGCAGACACCGTATGTAGTTATATAGGTAACCCCTTCCCTTACCTTGACTAACGAATACATATTTTTGTACTTCCGGAGACCTCCTGTTCCTATCGACGTGGTATAATAAATGAGCGAGGGAAAGCAAAACAATTAAACGTAACGTGGCTAATATATTTAGCTTGGTGACAGCGTACTTGCGGTAAATGAAAAAAAAAACACCAGTTCGCTACGAAAGAAACAAACGACTAGTAAAATGCCCCCTTGAGCGTATTGAGCCACACATAGACCATGCCTAACTGTCGTAAGAATGATATGATCAGCTTTATAGGTGTTTTTCACATGAATACAGGCGAAATTGGTCTAGACATTCATCAAGATTTAAAAAAAAATCAGTACAGTGTAATGCAAGATTTTCTTTGTGTGTGTATAATCAACCCGTTTTTGGTGTTGATTCGCTGAGTTTTACACTTATTTTTTTATTCTGCAAATCAAACTAACAATCACGTACAGAAGGTTTCAGTAGTATCTTCCGAACTTGGGGACCATCTTCTGAATAGCATTCAAGTTGCAATCTTGCTTTGTAAAATGAACCAATGTTCATTTGATCGATTCAGTACCGCAACGGATGCACACTGGACAGTTAACGCATCTTAAGCTAAAAAGAAACTTTTCCCTGGTTATTTAGTTCACACTAAAGATAAAAGTAAAATCCTCTTTTTCCGAGTGATTTGCCGGCCTTGAGTATAAAGGTGCTCTTACAAGGGTTATTTACATGTTTCAACTCTTCTACAAAGCACAAGGAATATTACACGTACAAAGGTTCTGTTGCAAATGATCAGCAAAAGCTCGCTTAGTTTCTCTTTCCAGGTGCCCTTTTTCGACATTTCGTTAATAAAAAGTAGTACATCTTGTAATCAGTCAGCACGCCTTAACTTTAAACTTTTGGATCGGACCACTGCTGGTGTTCTCAATACATTGCACAAACCATTCGCCCTTACTTCGAATACAGACCGTCTGTTTTGGTATTCTCATAAACGTATGTCTAGCAAGAAAATGTTATGATGTTATGTTAAATGGTTAAAACATCAGGTGTCTGCGATACCATAATTTTTTCTAAACACCACAAAATATGCATTTTTTGTAAAAGATATTTTTCTGCCTTTGGAAGTAATTTTTTGCCGACAAGAAAGCTTAATTACGTGCACATTCACACGCTCACTGATATTCTTTGAAATCACCTTAACTGTCGCATGTAATTTTGAATCACTTTGGTTTCACCACGTTTCCTCTATTTGTATGATCAAGAAACTTGTGTTATTCAGATGAAATTAAGCATTTGCACCTCTCCATTGAGCTTTGTCACTTTACAGGTTAAACTGCGTGCTGGGAATATCATAAAGAAGGGTCATAGATAAAAGCGTCAATTGTTCAATCACGCCAACATTCGCATGATAAAACGCTGGGCTTATGTAAGGCAATAAATAAACAATAAAATACAAAAACCATCTATATGACGAAACATCCCCAAAATAAAGCACGGCATACATTTAGCGAGTAATGATTGATTTGTGGGGTTTAACGTCCCAAAACCACCATATGAATATGAGAGACGCCGTAGTGGAGGGCTCCGGAAATTTAGACCACCTGGGGTTCTTTAACTTGCACCCAAATCTGAGCACACGGGCCTACAACATTTCCGCCTCCATCGGAAATGCAGCCGCCGCAGCCGGGATTCGAAACCGCGTCCTGCGGCATTTAGCGAGTATACAATACTGATGGATCAAAACGCGGCATCATTTTTAAATGTAATTATATGAGTAATTGCTGATGGTAATCACATCATGACTCTGCACACTCGGCCAATAATGGCTATGTTCGCTGTAATTGTGTTGTTCACGATTCATAACTATACCGATACAAACAGAAGCTCGTGCAATGCTTAGCCTTACGAATTCTCAATTTTTGGTCCATGAGTATAGTGTGGGTATTATTATTATTATTATTATTATTATTATTATTATTATTATTATTATTATTATTATTATTATTATTATTATTCTAGAATGCAGCACTAGGTGAGATCAGAAGCGTTTCAATACGTACGCTACACATTTCAAATATCACATTCTTGATCAGTGATTTGCTTTTTGATATCGTTTGTTAGCGGAAAAGGTTTCCAGGAAATATCCACCCTTCTCAACGAGCACTAACCTCGACGTGTCGGTGTGCTACAGCGAAATAAACAGGTTCCTCTGGGTGGAGATGAATGTTGATAAGCGCGGTCATGATGTAACTGATAACGCCGCCACTGTTTCGGTGGTTCGAGCGCCAGCCTTGTCCTTCGGCTGCTATCACTGCGTACGAAAGGCGCGCAAGCAGTGGTAATTTTTCTTTACTGAAGGTCTCGCTGGTTATATATTTTGTATGCTGAGAAGATGTGCTACGGATCTGCAAGGACGCGCCGATAGGTGAAAGGGAAACAGCAGGAGGAGAAGCAGGAGGAAGAGGAGAACAAAGGCAAGGCAGGGAAGTCAACCAAACGCGCGTGTTTACGTTTTGCAACCAAACGTGCGTCTCACCCAGGTAGCAAGGGATGAAGGCACTAAAAAGAAGAAAGAGCGAAGAAAGCACTGTCAAGATAGACGTGCATCTGTCCGTTACAGGCATACAGCGCAGTATAGAATGTATACTGTATACTGTACTACAGTGTGCAGTGTGGTATCTGCGTCAAATGAAACCCGAACAACGGCCATCCTTCGCGATGGTATATACCGCGCCGTCAACTTATCACCATGGGCAAGCATGGGCAGAGCTGCCGAACAGGAAGCGTGCGCCTGTCAATCGTGATAACTGTACGGCGCGCTATACCATCGTGAATGCTGACCGCTGCTCGGGTTTCATTTGACGATGTTAACACGCTGTCGTCCTTTGTGAAAAGGAAGAGGCGAGCGCGCGGCCTGCGCTTTTCGGCGGCTGCTGAAAGCCCTGTCAACCGAGACGTCAAAAAAGCGCGTGCACTTTTGGCTGCGTCGCCCTCTATAGACGCGACCAAAGCGAAAGCTTTACCTAGCAGCGCTTGTTCGTTGCCCATGACTCGTTATTTTGTTTTTAGGGGCGAAGCTCCTTAGGGCGTGGGCTGTGCGTCCCCTGTAGCCTGTATGTAGCCACCTCTAGTTTAGTTCTTGCAGTGTTCACTAGATGGCGGTACGGTCCCCTGTATGTAGCCACCTCTAGTTTAGTTCTTGCAGTGTTCACTAGATGGCGGTACCGTCTCCTGTATGTAGCCACCTCTCGTTTAGTTCTTGTAGTGTTTACTAGATGGTGGTACTTGTAGCTGATGATGAAAAGATGCAAGATGTTATAAACTAGAAAGCGGTACTTGTAGTTGAAGACGCGAGATCTTATAAAATAGGAATGATGTCACATATGGCACGTGTCATTGGTTGAAGGCAATCGTTCGATTTAGTGCGGCGACGTACGCTAGGGGGAGCGATTTAATAAAATCGAGTGGGCGAAATGTACATAGGATTCATGGTTTACCAGGTTTACCTCCGGAGCTTCGCCCACTCATCATCATTCACTTCGTGGATATGGCGGAATTTTTTTTTAAATAAATGACGCCAAAAGGGCGGGTGATTTTTTTAGCTGCCGCCTGATGGCGCTTTAGGCAGCCGCCGCAGGGCACAGGGCACGCGCTTGCGCGTGTTTGCTTTCATAAAGAACGACAGCGTACAACAGCAATGCCTGGGGTCTTCTCTTCAGAAAACGGTTTGTCGTCTTGCCTGTTCCAGCGCATAGTGAGCTTTGAGGCGAAAGCCCTTAAATGCCCAAACACGAAAGTTTAACGTCGGCGTCCCGCGTCTGCAGCGTCAACACATCTGAGGTGAAAAATCATCAAGTGGTGATGTCAGAGATCACATAAATTTGTGACGTCGTCGTGCCGTCAGGTCACGTAAGGATGTCATTGCATGACATCATCGTTCGGTCAAATGTGAGCTGATCACGGAAGCTAAGCAAAAACAGGTAAAGGTGGAGAAAACTTACGGAGCGTGGGCGTAGGGGGATCGATACATCTAGAGCCATTTACAGTAACTCTAGATACATCGACTGAGAAAAAGAGGTGGTTTTCACCTTTTCTAGTCGTCTTATGGAAATGCGTAAGGAAACTAGCGAGATTTTTTTTTCGTGTTCGCTTTGGGACCGAAAAACGTCCAACACGTCGAGCGTAAACTAACAGAAAGGTAGGTGTGCTGGTGGCTGCAGGCAGTTTTAGCCTGGCATACCTGGCCGGCAAATGCTCCTCCCGAGCGTCTCTCGTTTCTTTCGTTACCAATTTTTCAGGTTACATCTTGGCTGACGCCGGATACGACGTCTGGCTGGGAAACGTTCGCGGCAACACGTACTCCGACCACGTCAAATACACGCGGAAGGACAAAGAATTTTGGAATTTTAGGTACGTACAGAACGGCGTGAGTGACGTCTGTAAGTTCATGTCTAGGGCACGTTGCGTCTGAGTTCCCATGATTGTGTCCGCGGCTCATTTGGGACCTTCAAGGTCTGGCTCCTACCATCAAACTTTACCCTGCTATTATTTCGTGTCCTGGCTGTACCCATTTATGTGTCACTCTTAGCCACTCTTGGCACCCAGGGTAGGCCACCAGTATATAACAAAAAAGATAAATAAATACGGCACGAGTCATGACCGTACTGCGCTTTGGCGCGTGAACAACCGAAATTTAGTTTTCTTCAACGCGGCAGTGCTCTGCTAAAATCGTCTGATGTTCGCTATAACATGATCTAGAATGAGTGGTTAGAAACATGGGTCACTGGAATCGCAGCTGACAAAATTGTCGTCGTGACAGTGATACGTTGCCCATCTGCAACGGTTCCGCAGTTTCGATGAGATGATCAAGTACGACTTGCCTGCGATGCTCGACTACGTCCTCAACACGACGCAGCAGACCAAGCTCATCTACGTGGGCCATTCGCAGGGAACGCTGGTTCTCTTCGGGCTGCTCTCGGAGAGGCCGGAGTACAATAAAAAGGCGAGTATAGACCTGCCACCGGTCTCAATAGCTTTTGCTTGACGCTTGAAACAAAAACCTCGTGTTGCGTTTAAATATAAGGGGAACCGCATCCACAAACCAATCGGTTGTCTGTGGCAGTTTGAGTAAACATGAGCCCCGCGTGGCCGTTTTAGCGAATATGTTAGGATGGTCTTCCAATAAATACAGCTGGGTTTTTATGTACCAGAGCCTCGCAATGATTACGAGAGACGCCGTAGTGGAAGGCACCAGAATTTTTTTCCCAGTGGGCCTCAAGTACACGAGCCTCAAACATTTCGATTCTATTGAAATGTGACCGCCATGGCCGGGATTCAATACTATCACCTTCGGACCGGAATTACAGGTATTCCAGCAAACTGTGCACTTCTGACGATGGTAATTGGTTAAGCTACTCCTTGGACCACCACGGCTGGCTCGACGGTGGCCCGCAGAGTAGCTTAGCCAATTAATATAGTCATAAGCACGCAGTTTGTAAGAATACCTTGATGTTTGTTATCAGGTAACGCCCTGGCACACTGCGCCTACAAGTAGCCATGTATATTGTGCAAAGGTGTACTCCTTCCTTATACATTGTGTCCGAGCAAGCTAATTTACAAATCTGATGAAGAAAAACCACGAGACACGAAGATGAGAAGGGACAGTCTTTTTTTTTTTTTCACCTTTCACGCTTTTTTTTTTACTCGGGCACCGCCATCTTGGACTGATGAGCGTTTATTTTGTAGATTTTCAAAGTCACAGTATGGAATGATCGTGGTCATTAAACGTTGAATGTGCTGGAGAGCCGATTTCGTGCGTGTGAGTTCACCGTAGCAGTGTTTATTTGATACGAATACTACTGTAACGTTATCAGTCCAAAATGGCGGCGCTTGAGCGCGTTTAGAAAGTGATGTTGGAGGCAATAAAGATATTCACCAATAACGGCTTTATTAATATTTTGTAATTGTCCCTTTTGAATGGTAACATGTCGCTCTCGGATTCGATCCCCAGAACAGGATGAGTTTCTCGTCAGCTAAGTAGTTTTCTTCCTGATCAATCCGTATGAATATCCTCTTGGCTTTGGCTGCAAACGGGTATGTTGTAAACTTTTGCTTTCACAACTGATAGTTCGGTCTGGAGTACCTATGCCTGCGCGGTCTCTTCGAGAAAGTTTTCCTGGCCGCTGCTTCCGTCAGGTTCACTCGCTTTGCTGTTGAAACAAAGCAAAAATGTATGCAGAAAGTTGGGGAGACCCATAAAATATGATGGATGTACGTCTCGCCCATTATAGGGCCCTTTAAGCCTTCTTTGATAGTTATTGATCATCTTGGTTGCTAAGCGACCGCTGTAACCCACCGCGTGTGACTTCCGTCACGATCGATGTGGCGGCCGCCTTTCGCCGGACGTCTAACGATTGCCGGTTCGCCGAAAAGTGACGTCTCTAAGCTCCAATCTCTATTTTCTTTATTTTTGTTTACTTTTGGCGCATTAAGTAATGCAAACGGTTTAAATTAACTTTACAAAATTTATTTAGCTTTCAATGATAGCCTTATAGGATTTGCGCAAGATCGAAATGCAAAGAAAACATTTCCCGGCTGTGCTTTCACGAATGAATCATTTATTAGTGAACGTAACCTATTGATAGTGAACGTAACTTGCGCTCGCAAGCTATTTACGAGCGCAAGGGATCGGGAAAAGTTTCAGATTTAAGGCCTAAGTCTTATACCGGCAGAAAACTTTTCTTGGCAATGAAGTGAAGGCTACAGAGTCAAACAGCGTGTATCCTACCGCTAAATAATTGTCCCACAACAGAGTTCGTTTTTTTTTTCAGCGTCATATATTTTAACTATAACCCCGCCGCGGTGGTCTAGTGGCTAAGGTACTCAGCTGCTGACCCGCATGTCGCGGGTCAGCAGCTGATGATGTCGGCGGCGGCGGCTGCATTTCCGATGGAGGCGGAAATGTTGTAGGCCCGTGTGCTCAGATTTGGGTGCACGTTAAAGAACCCCAGGTGGTCGAAATTTCCGGAGCCCTCCACTACGGCGTCTCTCATAATCATATGGTGGTTTTGGGACGTTAAACCCCACATATCAATCAATCAATCAATTATTTTAACTGTAGGCCTTCACTTCCTACATGTATTTCCTACATACGTCGCACACACCGGTGAAATATTTGCATTTCTAAGGGCTCTGATGGCACTTACTTTTTCTTAACTGTCGCGATGCTTTCATTTCAGATCCAGCTATTCAATGCGATGGGACCAGTGACGAACGTGACGTTCATGACGTCACCGGTGCGTCTGCTGGCACCATTCGCCAAAGACGCTGGAGTGAGTTTTGCCACGCTCTATGCTGTTCATTCATTTCCATGTTATTCGCTCGTTCTCTATGATGCCGTCTAGTGTTCCTACCAAGAAGACTTTAGCAGCTGCCACTAGTTTTCGGGATTGCTCTTATTTTGTACAAATTTACTTTCGTATAAACTAATGAAACAAATGCATGGTTCATACCACCGTCGTAAGAATATATAACGTATAAGTGAGCCGTGCTTGCACAGGAGTATATAGCTGAATATTGTAAATTTCATCATGAAGGCTTGCACCATCTTTGGTAGTTACAGCACTGTTTGACGTGCAAGTTGAAGCCTAGTGGCATATCTCCACTCCGACGACGAACGTCGATGATCTTGACTTAACCGCAACTGGTGTATACCTGAAGTTATTCACGTACAACTATGCACAATACAGGATGAATTACGAGCAAGGATGACATCAACAGACGAGTAATCAGCACTAGTGCTCGATATGGAGTGATTCAAAGCGTCATCGTCTCTCGAGACAAAATATATACAAAAAGAATGTGCTGCCCATTATTACGGTAGCTTACGCCTTACAGCTGAGTGTGGTTCCGGGTAAGCCACCATGCAGTTTCAATGTCAGCGGTATGGTTGAATCTCATCTCGGTAAACCTCACATAGCTGCTGACCAGGGCTGGGAAAAGAACCTGCTTGGATGTGCTTCCAGGTCGTTAACTTTTACATTTGTATGCGGGGGTGCGTACGTTCTTCCGACTCTCTTCATAATAAGCGGTTTTTCGTTTTATGAGCGGTTATACTTTTTTGTGAAAGGTCCAGGGTTTAGGCTAACTTTCCTCGATGAAGCCTACTTCTATACTATACTATACTATACTATACTATACTATACTATACTATACTGTGCTATACTATACTATACTACTATAGTAAAAACGGGCGCATTAAAGGCTCGATTGACGCTCGTACACGTTTGGTGTGGCGTTACGTGAGCGGAACTGATGCGCAAAATCTCTAGCTTGGTCGTTGGGGTTTTGTCAACACTTGCGACAGCTATATGACTAACGTAACCTATATAACGCGTTACGTAACTCATGCAGGTACTCTTCAAACTTTTCGGCGACTACGACTTCTTGCCCAACAACTGGTTCATGAGGTTCCTGGCCAAAACCATGTGCAAGTACCACGTGCTCAGGGAGGTGTGCGAGGGCGTCATCTTCCTCATTGTCGGCACGGACATGCACGAATTCAACGTGGTGAGACCATATGACTATCATTAATTTCGTTGTCGCCTACCATACCATGCTGAATGCACAGATTCTTGTCCGATTACGAAAGCTAAGCAGCATCCTTCTCGGTGAATTACGTGTGAAGGAGACGATAATTTGTAGGCCTGTTTCTTCGGGCCGTAAATGATGCAAAAAATGGAATTTTAATTAGAAAATAAAGAAGGTATCAAACTCATTGTTTAACAGCAGTGATATATTGCTTAAAATTCGAGTTGTTTTAGTGTTACATTCAACTTTACTTGATTTGTTCATTGTACTTCACATCAACCATAGCTAAAACACCGCACAAGTGGCACGTGTTGGCGTTGTGGTATACACGGATTGATCTGTAAAGCAGAGGCGTACAGTGAGTGATCTTGAAGATTTTTAGCGCCCACGAGCTTAACTTGTACCCGACGTAACTCTTTATCTTTCGAACGTCAGGTACAAGAAAGAAAACCAACCCGAACGCACTGCCAGCAACGCTGCTGTCGTTATCACTCTTTTTCCCTTCCCCGCACAGCTCTCGTTTCCCGCTGTTTGCTGAACTGTTTGGCAAACCAACGAGTGCTGCACTCTGGACTTCGTGCGCAACGCGACAGTTAACGCGCATGGTAACCGATCGCACTTCCTTTGTTTACGTGGTTCTGTTTTTGCAGACTCGCCTGCCTGTTTTCATCAGCCACACGCCAGCAGGGACCTCCGTCAAAAACATGATTCACTTCGCTCAGGTAATGCCATCGGACAATATCACTCTATGCCCGCGAATTTCTCTCCTCACACGCCTTTCCGCCCCGCGTTGGGTGGGCAGTTCGGGCATAAGTCTATATGTAGCGGCTTCCTAAGCTTAGACATGCATCAGCATGGCCAGCACAAACACGACACATGACCGGAAAAAAAAGATGAAGCAGGCGACACATTCTTCTCGTCTTGTATTTAGATTGCCCAAGCCATCAAACTTGCCCAACGTGTTACCTTTTAAAGCGAAAGCCTTAGGCACCTCATTAAAAGCGAAAATGGACCTCTTACACGATGGATGCGGTGCCTCTAGAGGCTCGAGCGAAAAGCAAATTTGGCGGCTTTCCGGTCAACGCGACAGCATGAGAACTTGTGCATTCCTTCGAATGTATGTCCTCCGAGATGGCGCACTGGAAGGTTTCGGATTATTGATTAGTTAATATGTGGGGTTTAACGTCCCAAAACCACCATATGATTATGCGAGACGCCGTAGTGGAGGGCTCCTGAAATTTCGACCACCTGGGGTTCTTTAACGTGCACCCAAATCTGAGCACACGGGCCTACAACATTTCCTCCTCCATCGGAAATGCAGCCGCCGCAGCAGGGATTGGATCCCGTGACCTGCTGGTCAGCAGCCGAGTGCCTTAGCCACTAGACCACCGCGGGGGGGGGGGGGGCGGAAGGTTTCCGACGCCACGAACAACTAGTGTTTCGCGGTGGAGCTGTTGGAGTGTTCCCTGTGGGCGTGCGAAGAGGTGCCCGAGAAAAAGGTTCATCGGCCACAGTCTCGCTTCGGTGGCATCACCACGACGAATGCAAAAAAACACACACAAAAAAAAAACAAAATACAATGCGAGGACTGTCATCATAAGACGTCACAGATCATCAAAATTTGCGATGTCACTGTGACGTCACAAGGACATTATCGCATGTCATAATCGCTTAGCCAAAGTGGCTTCGATCACGGAGGCAATTGAAAACAAGGCAAGCTGCCTCAGATTTTTGAGACAGTGCGAAAAAATGGTCCCGTATCTACATGTATCACTGCAAATGTCGTCGAAAGACGATAGTCTTGCGTGTAGAGAGAGCGAACAAAACGCCTATTTGATGTTCTGCGCGAGAAAATTGGTGAATTGTATTCTGGAGGCACTGCGTTAGAGTGTCTCGATCCGCGCAGTGAAGGCAAACGAGCGCATCAAGGTACGTTAGACACGAGCGCTATCTGGCAGTTATTTCCGAAAACGATGGAAGGGGTGCGCGCCCGTGGAGAAAGATGCGTGTTTGTCTCGGAGGCGAGAACGTGTAAAACGCAAAGCGACGGGCAAGTGCGACCACCTAGCAAAGTCTTAACAAAGTGTTAAAAACACTTGCCTTTTTGAGCATAGCGTTGCATTGGCAGCGCAGCGTGATAAACGCTACAGTCCTTAGAATTTCTTATTTGTGCATTCTCTAGTGTAAATACACACATAAAAAGATTGTCGTGTTGTTTTGGTGCCTCAGATATGCGCAATAATTGCCATTCATTGGTGATTGCACAAGTATGAACGCTGTAACTTGAGCAAAAAATTGATGGGCGCTGCGGAAGGGTTTGGCCGTTAGCGATATCGCTTGGTGCCGTTTAAGGTATCGTTACGGTGAACAAACAGACAAAAGTGCAGAACGACGGACAAATATACAGACCAAATCTGCGTCAAAGTACTCGAAGAAAGACTATCGTCTGTAAAAGATGTTATGTGCGGAAAGCTGTCGGTGGGTGGCGGTGCAGGGTGAAATACGTTGAATGAGAACGGGATGATTTTCGAGTTCAGGTTACTTTATATGAATTCATAAGGGACTCCGTGAATTTTATGAACGTGCATGCTGAAGTCTCGTAAGTTGCTCATATGCATGCGTCATGTGTGTAGATTATGAATTGCGAAAAGATAATCTTAGATCGTTGCTGAGATGGCACCATCGTTATTAGGTCGTTAGTTTATTGTCACTCGTGCTCGATTGATTTGTGGATCAATCGATTGACTCGTTGAGTGATTGATTGATTGATATACATTGACATGTGTGCACAGATGTTAGAACGGCAATGATTTACGCTGAACAAGGAATTGTCTGCTTATCTCTAAGATTATGTCAAATTAGGTCATTTGGTTTCGGTCACCAAATATCACTATCTCTAGGCACATCATCAACAACAAAAGTCGTTTAGGTGGGTTCATGGAACACGTGCTATTATTGGTTATTTTTGTAGATACCATAAATTGCGAGATGCTTCTGCTTTTTTTTCCTGACTTAGTATCGTATCTGTAAATATACGATGAGGCGACATTTTCGCTACGTAAGGCTTTACTAAGGTATATATAAGTTTATTGGAAGTAGGAACACGAAAACCCAGTAGCAGGAATGCTTGCGAAAAATTCTCGACGATAACGAAAGACAGTTGGTAAGAATTTTTTTTCCCTCTACGAGAAACGACTTGAAAATTTCTATGTATGTCCCTCTTTCAAGACGTAGAGCAACGTCAGTGCTCACAAGCGTTGTGCTCGCTTATTTTTAGCGTTGATGTGCTTTAGTTGACTGAGTATATACGCACATGTATCATTCTTTTATTGTCGTCGCACAGCTCGTTCGAGAGAAGCGGTTCCAGAAGTTCGACTACGGCAGCTCCAAAAACATGGCCATTTACGGGCAGGTGAGTCTGAAGGATATACCGTCGTAAATGGCGCATTGTACACGTCCTACGAGCAAGCTTCTGTTGCTGTGCCAAGCTATGACAACGCGGCATACAAAACGCGCCCTCTTTATCACTGGTCAGTCGGTGCTACAGTGATGAGTTAGCCTCGAGCCGATGAGATTGCATCAGGAGGGTGGAGGGGGGGGGGGCAATGGTGGTGGCTTGCGTCCGTATACATACAAAAACAAAACATAGCTGGACCCTCTGTAATAGGAATTTAAATAACGCGAGGCTGGAACGTGTCTTTACAAAAGCAGTTGATCGATCATTTATTCTCTATTGATATATACGAGAACCTGAACATTGTACATTTGTGTTAGGCAGTGATAGCATCGTTTGACTTAGATGTGCCCACGCTAATTCCCAGTGGCACATCTTCGTTCCGGCAACTAACGACCATGATCGTAATTTAACCCTTTTGGTAGCTGGAGTTGTTAACATAGGAACACAGCGTATGGTGAATCCCACGCAAAGACAGTATTCAAAAGCCTCTAAATAAACACTAGTACTCGATAAGCACTTCTTCGAAGAGTCATCAATTGATGAGGGAAACGGCAATGTGAGAGATCATCAGTAATGAGGGTAACCTGCGCCTGTGCTGATGCACATACGCTACCACACTGCGCTTCATTAACGCGAGAGGCATATATCATAGTTTGAGTCGTCAACGCGGCAGGTATTGCGCTTTCCGCTCGCACATCTCTCGCTGAACCGAAGCAATCGCTGCACGTCATTCGCACGTCAACGTCATTACCTTTATGAAGCGCTTATTTGCAGCAGTACGGTTGCCGTCACGCCAGTTGAAGCAATAGGCGACCGCCTTTCTAGTCACCTAAATCAGAGAGAGAGAGAGAGAGAGGAGGGGGGGGGGGCTTTCTGAGGGGAGAATTCTTCACTAGTACGCCCATTGGCGGCGGTGAAACACCGTTGGTGCATCTAGAAACTGCTCTGGCTACGAGGGGTCACGCGCTAAGACGACGCGAAAGGCAAAATAAAACACCCACTGCGTTTAGAGCACACCATCAATGACACCGTGGCCTTGAGAAACTCTTCGATGCCAGCACGGCCACGTTCCTTCGCTGGCATCGAGGCACCCTTAGATCGAATCAGACCTTCAAGGTAAATTAAGGAGTGGCTAACGAAGAGTTGTGCTTTCTAAAGCGCTCTTATAGAATTGCTTATACGGAGACTGTTTCTGGAAAAAAAAAATGGTGGCATCAATTAACGAAGACTCAACCACCTTCATAAAAAAATGGTGCATCATCCAAATAACCACCTTTCATTGACAAATGAGTTCTAGCGCAAGCGCAGAATATTTTTGCGAACTGCTGTTCTTTGCTCGTACGTCATATCGTTAGTCGCAGTAATGTTGTCGAATCGGTACGTCGTAGTAATGAGCGGGTTGAACGCAGCAAACCATGACACGCACAAACACTGGAGTGCCAGTGTGTGTGTGTCTACAATTCCTATTTAACTGCCCTTTTTTGTCGCAATTAAGGGGCTGCATTAAAATTGTCATTAATTGTATATGAAGGAGCACAGAACAAATGACTGGACGTGTACGTACCGGCATTATTGCAACTTCCACCGTCGTGCGTTGTTTTGCGTGTATCGCCGATCCGTCTTCATGATGTCTTATTGGCCTCTCCTGGTTTGCGCAGAGAACCCCTCCCGTGTACAACGTATCGGGGGTCAAGCTACCCGTGGGCCTCTTCTGGAGCCTGAACGACTGGTTCGCCGATCCCACGGACGTCAGCATTCTCACCGAGAAACTGCCAAACATCGTACTCAACTACCAGGTACAGTCAAGAACAAAAGTTTGCGGAGCAACGAGGGTGCGTGCCAAACTGCCTGCGGTCGACGGCAGATTGCGTACCTCTCGCTGCGCCATCTGCCGTCGACCACAGTGCTTGGCCAGAAATGGCTCTTGTTGTTCACTCGACTTTCAGTTTTCTATACCGCCGGGTAGCGCATCGTTAGTTTGCAGTTTTAACGCAGAGCCTATCTCCAGTACGACCGTCCCATTTCTATTTTGATAGCAGGGTCAACGCTATCACGGCGTGCCTCGAACGGCGTTCTGTTCGCTAGGTATCACTTTATCATAAGGATTGTGACTGATAAGAGATGTACTCATAAAATGCTCTCGAGGCAGAAGCACGTAGACGCAGATACCAAAAGGGTCGTCGCGTTTAAAAAGTGAAGGGTGAAAATTATTTGTAACCCGTCAGAAAACTGGCAGGCCATAGACTAGTGAAGGGATGCTTCTTGCGCCCTGCGGTGCTGTCGATCGTCGCATGACGTAGCGGAAGTGTCGCGAAGAGGCCTTTGGCCACGCGCTCGCGTGGTCCGTGAACTTTTGTGGTCAGCTGTACATCCCTCACTCTTTCTTCCGACGCTTTAGCCCTGTGTGGGCGGAGACGTGCTCCGCACGGTATTTCTGCACCCTTCGAACAACCAAGTGCCCGTTACGGATTGCATTACGCATGCGCATCGTTTTGCTTTCCTGTAGATACCCTGGCTTCTAGACAGCGTGCTGATTAAATAGGCGTGGATGATAAAGCTATATATATATTCTGATTAAAGTTACCTGGGACACCCTGTATATGAACACAATGATTATATCATGAATACCGGTGCGACAATACACCTTTGAAAAACACTTTCGTCTTCAATATTGAGGGGGTGGTTTCGCTGTGACGTATCCATACAGTCTGACGTAGGTAAAGTCACGTGGTAAACACAGCTCGTGACGCTCTTATCACACCATCTATCGCATGCTGCCATTTGCTCCGTGCAGGTTAACAACGATGAGCGCATTGCCGTCCAGCTACTCAGACAGCGATGTAGATCGCAGACAGAATGCAGAGTTTGCTAGCCCGCCATGACAACGTCTATTCTAGTAGGGCTAGATAGCAGACGCTGGGCGATGAAAATTTTTAGAATTAAGCTAGAACGTTTTGTTCATGTATCCGGCTCCGGTGTGTGGAGCGTGTTAACACTGCCAAGCAAACGAAAAAAAAGAAAAAGTTTTTTCTTTTGCCTCAAAATTGTGTTTCCTTTAAGCCTACTCTTGACACGGAAGATGTATGAATTTCAGTTGAACCATGATCCTAAAGCACCATGGCTGAAATGCAGGCCCGTGTGCTCAGATTTGGGTGGACGTTGAAGAACCCCAGGGGGTGGAAATTTTCGGAGCTCTTCACTACGGTGTCTCTCATAATCATACGTTGGTTTTGGCACGTTAAACCCCACATATCAATCAACTTTAGTTAAACAACAAGTACGAATTTAGTTATGCTACTTGATCTCTCTCTCTCTGTCATGCAGGTGCCAGACCCGCAGTTCACGCACCTCGATTTCATCGTGGGAATGCACGCAAAGGACATTGTCTACAGCGCCATGATGAAGCTCATGGAGCGGCACAAGAAGAAAGCCTACTTGATATAGTCTGATCACAGCTTCGTGTTCCGATCTCGTGTAAAATGAAATCACATAATTTTTCTCCCGTAATCTACTCGACGGAATCAAGTCCCATTGTCCAAAGTGCGACAACAAAGACGGACCGGTGAACGTGGCAGATCTGATTTGGAAGGCCTCCCCCACTGAAGGAACCTTCATTGAGGACTCGTTATCATCAGTCTAATGACCAGATCCCCACAGTGGCTATGTGTTTTCACGGTCACTATTTTAAGTTACTCCTATCCTTGAGCGCGTCGTTGACTGTGGCCTGGACGATTGCACGATAGAGTATGAACGGACAGCAGTGCAGGGCCCAGCCAACCCGTATCGTCGGTTACCGTCCAAGATAGGCTCTGTCCACCACCGTAGCAATCGCTCGCAGAAAGAATTTGAGCATGTGCTACAACCCATCACGTTTGTTTGTTTGCGTGACGTCAAGCATTGCGGAAGTTAGCGGAAGTTTGCTACGCAAGGACGCATTTGTGCTGCTGTTTTTTTGGACAGATGAACTCAAAAAAAATTTTATCAGAAACTCTGACTTTTGTAGTCAGCTGAAGTGATAATATTTTAGCTACAAACTCAAATTTTTACATTCTGATGTGCCTTCAGGACTTGAAACGAAAATCAGCTGGTGACTCACAGATTTGAAGGGCCAACGCAGTATGGCTTTGAGCGAGAAATATATATTTATTCCTCGATTGTAAATGACTCTGTAGATGTAGAGACTGGTATTTTTTATTAATTTGAAATAAATATGTTTATAAACCACCCTTCCGACTCCTATTTTTTCATAAGGGATGATGACAGCTTAGCACGACTGTTTTCTGCCCAATGTTAACGCGCGAGGCAACTTACGAACTCAGATATTCCACTTCCCCAACGTTGTTATGTTCCGCTTTCATGACACACAAAAAAAAAAAAATTGAGCAATCGCATGCAGACCTCTCACTTCACGCCATTTCAAGCGTTTTCTCGCGCCCCTCGATCACTCGACGGAGGTCGGTGTGCAATAACTGGTAGCCAGTTCTCGGCCGCATTTCATGCTGGCAAGACCGAACCACGCGGAGTGCTTTGGCCGGCGTTACCAGGAGTTGCGTCTCTCGGCGTCGCCACACGAACGTCGACAGAGAGCCAGCAATAGCACGAGAAGCTGAGAGCATCCGTCTGATGGAATGTCCTTTTAGGCCGCTGTTGATTGGCTACCGGCGAGCACACGCCCCCCCGCCCCCCCCCCTCTTGCCGGTTCCTCTTCCGTAACGTCATTTTAACGTGACGGAGCTTTCACAACTGCACACACAAATGAGGGGGATGGCATGCGCTGCAACGCAATCGAACGCAGCCTCCAAGAATCCACGTTCGGCCGCACGAATCTCGGAGGTCGTGCGTGAACTCTGATATTGTGATTGCGATAGCCGTTCAACTGGTTTCACGCAGCTGCCCACGCAGGTGCATGGGCAGAATTTTTTTCCAGGGAAAGGGGGGGGGGGCACCACTTTGATATGATGGGGGACAGGGAAGGCAGATGTTATTGAGTGTCATTCTGTGCTCTTTATGCCATAGCACAAAAACTTTAACGGGGAAGGCGGTGGCACTAGTCTGGTGTGCCACGCCCTGGCTACGCCATTGCGCGCGCTTGGTACGGATCCCCTGCACTTTTCTCACGAATCTGGGACACGCCTATATACAAGGACATAGTCAGTGTGAAGCATAATATCCCGTTACAGTACATTTAGTTCACTATATACTTTCTTAGTCTGGAAGTGTGCTGTGCGGATTCGGCGCGTCGACGTGATCAAGAGCGCGATGATGTCAAGGCTCATTACCACTTTTCTAGAGTTATAGAATGCGCTCCGTATAAATGAATATGTCCACTAGACACATAGAGAATAGCTCCCCATATAAGCGCCAGATCGTCATCGCACAATGTTGACCTGAGACACTGTGTAATGTCCATCATTCAACAAAAAATACTTCTGCTAATAGCTTTTACGCCTTATCAGTCAGTCTTCGAATGGAAAATATTCAAGGTATTGCGAAGTAAACACACTGACCCAGAAATGTATTTTCATTAATCTCTTCTGCTCGTGGAGAGTAAAACCGCCCTGCGAACATGCAATATATAGCATTTCAGATTGCTGTGACCTCTACTGTCGCACTGTGTTTGAGGCTACGTATTTGGCCAATGCAACAACTTGTGCTAAGATTGCTGATGAACTTGCGTATGTTGTCTGAAAGAGTTCAACAAGGCCTCGAGCGATTCACTGTCTAAGCTTCTGGGGACAAGGCTAAGGCAAACAACATCAACAGTGACTTTAAGGCCTCAGAGTAGTGGTACCTCCATCGGCAGTAGCGACGACGGCATTATGAATGCGGAAGTCACTGAAAACCTGCGCGCTGATTGGTTCGCTCGACAAGCACCGGAAAGACTATCCGAAACGAAGATGCTTTAATGCAGTGCGAACTGCCTCTGATTGGTTCACTATATGTATACTTATAGGTTATCGTTCAGTTTTGGCAGGATGAGCATGGGTGTTCCATAGATTCCCGTGCCTATAAAGACTGAGCGACTACTTATTGTTGGACGCCATGGCATCAAGTTTATAATATGGCTTAGTCTATACAGTAAGTATTATTTTGAAACACTATAAAACCACAACATCCTGCGCCTTTGGACAGAACTACCGTCAAGTTTTCCGTATACACAGCCGAACAACCCGGCGTCCGTACGAGCTGTCCGTTTTTAGCATTAGTCTAGTGGAAAAAACAATCGTCACTTGGTGGACACTTCAACCACCCTGCCACCCATCTTCTTGGGCTTTAGTTCGGGCGACGGAACGCGGTCTATAGACAGCTCCTCGTCGGTGCTGAGTCCGGAGTCGCAGTGAACCGCGGTCAACTGGTGGTGGACGAGTGACCGAGCCGGAAACGCTAGGGCCCGGGTCGGGTCCACCAAGGGCGGTAGCCGCAGCTGGGCCCGCCTGCGGTCAGTCTCGACTGTCCCTCGCGCTCCCGCCTGGTCTGATTTCATTTTGCTGCCACTGCTGCTTGCCGAGAATGAAGACGAAGCGACGGTGACCGGTAGGCATTTGGCCGACGCTGCCCGCGCGCCGGTGTGGTGCCTGCGCGGTGTGACGCTCCTAGAAGTCGTCCCGCTCGACAGCGACGACTGGGCGACAATGTCGTCGTCGTCATCGTCATTAGCGGGCCGGTCACGTACGATTACGGGCAGCCTGCGAGGGTTCAAATGCTTCGTGAATGCAAGCCTATAGCCTTAAAGACGTTGAGCATTGCACTCGTTGACTGAAACTGGAACACATGAGCATTATAAAGCGTCAACTATTTCAAATGCTTTGGGGTAGATGCCGACGTCGAATAGAACCAATTTGAGTTGAACTTGCGTGCACCTTAAAATGTGGTTTGAAGAAGTGAATCAACCCATAAGCAGGCGAGTAGATTGTACTGTGCGTCATATCGGTGTGACAATCTGAGTCAAACGGTTTTAACGAGTACACGTCAACATAGATAATTTGGTACATACAATATAATAATAGGAAATATTAAACTAGGCGAAGAAAGCACCATAGAGCTGGTTACTGCACTATATTCAAGTGAAAGTCCTGAGTATCTCATGTGTCGAAAAATTCTGCATCCATGCAGCGAAGCTTCCAACATGATCTTTACCAAAATTGGCGTTACATGGTTACTACGTCATAGGATGACGTCATCACGAGATAAAGTCATCAATTGCGTGATGTTTGATGTTGTGTCGTCATAAAATCGTCACATAACCAAAGGTGAGCCGATCAAGGTGGAGTGTAAAACTGGATGAACTACAGACAGCGTCACAACAATGAGTTCTAGCATCGAAAAGCTAATAAATCATTCAACTCGCACACCAAGGATGGCATAGCACCTTTGACAAACATAAATGTGCACATAAAAACACCAGACAGCATATCTGAGACACTTTACTCCTGTTACTCCTTTAATGACAGATACTCCTTTAATGACAGATAGCTTAAAAGACACCAACACCAACAGTTTGTCGAGCACCCACTTCACAAAAAACAATAACCTGCTTTATGCTGACGGTCTGCCACATAGAATCGGTGGTTACCGGGTGCTCCGTTGCCGGCCTGGAGGTCATGGGTTCGATCCCAACAGCGGCGGTCGCAATACAGAGGTAAAACGGTGTGAGACCGAAAGAAAAAGACTTTCTCTGATTATCTGGCAGACGACTGTGGGATGGTCATCGCGATACGGCCACACATTACCTCGGCGTGACGTCGGGTCGTGTACTATGCGATGTCAGTGCACGTCATAGAACACTAGATGGCCGAAATTTCCGAAGCCCTCCACTATAAAGCGTCCCTCATGAACATATAACCGTTTTGGGACGTAAAGCCTCAGATATTTTCCTTTCCTGCCAGCAAGCGAGCTTGTGTAGGCGCTGTTCGACCATGGGGCACGAAAACATCTGGTATTCCCACCTTAGGAAGTATGGACCTGGCTCCTGGTACTGCCGGGTCTGTGCCAACCACCACGGGCTCATCCGCAAGTACGGCCTGAACATCTGTCGCCGTTGCTTCAGACAGTACGCAGCTGACATTGGGTTTAAAAAGCTGGACTAAACTCTGGAGGTGGCAATCGTGGGGTGCTAAAAAAATATATATATATATATAATTATAACTTCACGCTGTTGCCGCTAGCGCATGTCCGTCGACTCGTGTCCTCACCTGTGACTGCTCTTGCGTGCCGAAGTGGACGCAGCCTTCCCAGATGCTCCGGCAGGGAGGCTTCTTTGGGACGGAGTGCGCGTCAGCTCACAGGGTTCGACCAGCGACGACGATGACGTCATCGAAGCAGCCAGAGGTCCAGCAGGACCGGACATCCGCCTCGTTCCGCCCCGGCCTCGCGTGAACATCTCCAACTCGGCCAGCGTTCGACATTTCCACTCGAGCTCCCTCTGCAGATTGGCGATGATGGAATTCTTCTCGGACAGCTCCGCCTGGTGCTGCCACTCCTGTAAAGGTGGCACAGACAGCGGACATTGCCCTTTTTTTCAAATTGAAAGGTTACAAGCGACAAATTGTGGTACGAATGTATTAAACTTGTATGTGTCTACAACGTTTGAAGTGGTCCCACAACACTTTTTGAGCATGGTAAGAACATGCTGCCGAGAGGCAGTCGAAGCTCCCGAGGACACGCAGGCCAAATATAGCGTGGCACGCGGTACAGAATTTATGGAGGCGCTCGGTGGATTTCGGGGCTGACGGCTGTCCTGTACGCGATGTCCTCTCTTCGATGACCACTTGCCGATCGGGGCCACGTCCGCGGAATTCTACAACCGTCTCCCAATCTGTTACTTTTCTCTCAAACTTTACTTCTCTCTACGTCTTCTAATCCCTCCTTTCCATTTCCTTTGTGAGTTACTGCTGACGTGTCACACTCGGATGCAGACAGTATCGCAACTTACTTCCTTTTCACGTTTCCTATTTAAAAATCACTACCTGCCCCCCCCCCCCCCCCCCCCCGCAGATTTTGCGACTAATTCCTAAAGTCAGCTAGAAAGCGCTGCGTCTTCTCCAATAACGAACCGTTTAAGGAGAAACTCACTCGCTGTTCTTGTTGCTATTTAATGAAATAAAATTCCTAGGTTTGCCATACGGCAATGAAAAATCTCGTAATGGAGAACTATAGAATATTTCTGAACTCCTTGGCTTCATTAAGGCACACCTGAGTATATCAAATGTCCTGTGGCCTTCACTGTCTTGTGCATCCGTCTTCAAACATGAACAGTAACCGACTCGGTCAGTCTCGAAATCTTTCACACCCAAAATTAGGTGCACGAGTGAGTAGAAACCAATATAAAAAAAACTTGCGTCCACTTCTCTTTCGCTCCCCACAGTGAATTATTTCAGACTGTACTGTGTCACATTGCGCCACAATATCTACATGAACTATAAGTAAATCATGTACAATCACCAATTGCAGTACACACCTGCACCTGAAGCCGCTGGTTGAGTGACACGAGCGCATTGTTGGCCTGTTCCAGCTGAGAACTGAGGAATCGACAGTGGCAGCACCACTTGTCCAAGTCTTCTTCGAGCTGGGCAATCTTCTCCTGGTATGAGGCTGCACGTTGGCAATCTGCGGTTACGCTCAGCCAAATATTATCATAACGCAAAACCTATAGGAAAGCCATGTATTATTTTTCTAAATGCATAAGGTGAGTGTATTAAGTTCAGTTGAGTGTATATAAAATTTTAGAACCAAACTATCCCATGGCTAAGGATGTACTCGTTGTCTGCAAATTATGTAAAGGAAATGAAGTTATATTCAGTTGAATTCAATTCATTGCCAGCTTATCAGAGTTCAGGACCATGAACATATCTACAGTGAAGACATCGTGAGCCACTGGTACCAGTTCTTCATTAGCGACATTCATAAACTACCACCAGTTGTACTAGTACTTCTACTTTTAGTAGAAGTAGTAGTATATAGCTATTTTTTTTTGCTTTTCCCGCGAAGTCCCATGAGGTGGGGCCTTCTGTCCAGGTCCCTGTTTGCTACTGCTATACGGCTGCCCATGACAATCAGTCTCGCTGTAGTTTTATCTGTAATAAACTCCGTGAATGTAAGGCAAACAAAGAACGACGCATAGCCGCAAAGTATTTTAAAGACGATAGTTTTCTTGGGGACCTTCGACGGAAAAAATTTGGTCTGTCTGCCTGCCTGTCTATACATTTGTCTGTTTGTCCGCCCTTAACGATACCCCAAATGGCCGACCCCGTCCGCAGCACCCACCAACATTGCTCAAGGTTCAGCGTTCATGCTTGTGCGATCGTCTATTAAAAAAGCAATTATTGCGCATATTTGAGGCACCACAACAACACGTAAATATTCTGTATGTGTGTCTTTACTAAAAAAGGCATACATATGAATTCTACGGACTGTAGCGTTTATCACGCTGCGCTGAAAATGCAACGCTTGCACGTAAAGGCAAGTGTTTCCAACGCTTTGCTAAGACGAGATGGTGGTAGCACATACCCGTCGCCTTGCGTTCTACACCTTATCGCATACGAGACGGGCACAAGCGCTGCGCGCTATGATTTCCAAGATAACTGCCAGATAGTGTTGATGTCTCATGTGTGACGTAACTTGATGCGTTCATTCGCCTCTGCTGCACGCTTGAGGCACTATAACGCAGCGCCTCCGGGATACCATTCACCAATTTTCTCGCGCAGAACATCAAATAAATGTTTTGTTCACTCTCTCCAGACGAAGGCTCTCGTCTTTCGATGACATTTGCAGTGTAACATGCAGATTTGGGGCCACTTTTTCTCTCTAAACTGTTAAGTTTGACCTAAATAATGGCCAAGCTTACCTTCGTCCACTAGGGTCATCCCGTTGTTAAACAGGGCAAACTGCATTTCTAAGGAAAAGGAGGAAATAGATTTGAAGGGAAGGAGAAGAAAAGACCAGAGAAAAAGACAGTCAGTGACGAATATCCAGAAGCAAGCTATCCTATGGCATTTGTACGGATGATTTAGGCTCTGCTTGCTTTGTTTTGTTGCATTTTGCGCAATTCCAAAAGAAAAAGAGAAACGTTCACTGGTACATTCACCTTCGATGAGCTGATGGCGAAAGCAGTCTTCTCCTTTTCAGTCGATTCTATTTAATACAATCCACTTTCCCGAAAGCTTTCCGCATCTTACGTTGTTTTGTAACACTGCCTCCGAGATCGAAGACATCGCAGCTTTCTGTATCTGACGTTCTTTTGCACCACTGCCTCAGAGATCGGAGGCATAACAGCTGTTACTCTTGATTAGAGATTGGCGCTTGCGTTCTCGTCTTTACATCCCTTTCATTTTTCACGGAGTACAAGTTTTATCAAATGCGCACAGAAGATCAAGTTAACATAGACACATTAAGGGTATGTGCACGTTTAAGGTGTATACCTTCCGTGGTATTTTCATCTGGCGCCCTTTTATGCAGTTTCTTACGATTTATTCGCTTCTTTCTTTTCGGCCAGAAAATGGCGTACGTGACTTACTACGAATTCACCAAACCGGAAGCTTTATTACGGTAAAAGCCTTAGACGCATTGTCAAAGGCTAAAAGTGGCCGTCAGGAGCGTCCGCGTAAACACGAGTGATGAGAAAAAAATAATCACGTGATGACGTCAAATCTTCCCAAACTTGTGACGTCATTCATCACGCGGTCATAAGTGGCCCGATCTCGGAGCCACTGCAAAACCACGTGGCGTGCAGAAAGCGTTTGGTTGCGTATAAATGCATCGACTGAGAAGAAAATAATAACATAAATTTTGTTTTCGAGTGGTTGAACATAAGGAACCGTGTTACCTGGTTGTTGAACTACTGCTCTCCACATTACGTGTTACCACAGACTTTCCTCTTTCGCGGCACCGAAAGTATACATGCCAGAAAACGGCGCACCTTTGACAGTCTTCTGCAACTTGGCGACCTCGGCGTGCAGGCCTCGGAGAGTGAGCTTATGCTGCGTCTGCAGGAACGCCAAGTCGCTGCGGGCCGAGCGCAGCTGCGCCTGCAGCCTCGCTGGATCGTTCTCCACCACCGCTGGCAACCTGGAGGAGGCAGCGGCATCTTCCTCGTCGCCACCACCGTCACTGCTGCTCCAACAGGCCACGGACTTGAAAGTTGCATTGCTCCGGCCATCTTGGCTCGTGTCACCGCCACACCCTCTGCTGCTCCGACGGACCACGGACTCGAAACTTGCGTTGCTCTGGCCATCTTGGCTCGTAACTCCGCTCGGCGCGGCGCACATCCGTCAGCGTACGCCCCCAGCTGTCACTTTCTCCCGTGCCGCGCCGCCGCCCCTGCCTCTTCAGTGACTCACACTCGTCAGCAGCGCTGTCTTCTTGTGCGGCCTTTATCGCCCATAGCCGCCGTGTCTGCAAAATGGTCAGCGTAAAGAGAAGAGCGTAAACGAGAGAGAGAGGGAGAGACAGAAGGACAACATGTCATTTTGACATACTAAAACTGTAGTTGTGGCCAATCCAACCTGAGTGCAGCTCTCAAGTACCAAATACATCTAGATCTATATACACACTGCAGACAAAATGCAGACATGGAGACTCTATAGCTACCCATATCTTATGCGAATGCATACACAATAACAAAGATGCAGCCTCAAACAGCGACGGGCCTCAAGTACTGAGAGCCTGCGCGTTGCTAAGCTTGAACCATAAGCAACGACTCCGTGCGGTCCAGCGAGCCGAGGAAGCCGCCAGCCGCGCCTGAGCGAAACCTTGGAGGGGTCCAGGCTAGTCTCACGTATTCGCAATACAAAGTTATTTGACCTAATCAAAACCAATACACGAACACAGAAATATTAGATGGATAATTGGTTTGTTGTTCTGCAATGAGGCTCGATGAAATCTAAAATACCAGTTATAAATTCGTTTGTGACAGAGTTCAAAAAGCAGAAAAATTAATAACTGAGAAGAGTCTAAGAACTCTTACTTAGCAAAAGTAAAAAAAGAATGGCTCATGGAGATATAACGCGGTGAATCTGAGTAATAAAGTAAATACGTGAGCTCATACAGGATAACGGCAAAACTTAGAATGCAGTTTTTAGGGTCTTCGTGCGAAATTTAAGTAGATTAAATCCCAACTCAATTTGTAAACGGCCCTGCAACATTTTTGGAACATGGTCAGAAAATGCCAACGATCAGTTGTCGAAGCTCCTGCAAACATGAGAGCCGAACATTACAGCGCAGCACGCGGCATGAAACTTGCAATCCAGTTTCAAGTGCGGTGGTTTGGGCTAGCTGGTATGACATGACGATAGTTATAGCGCGAGAACAGAACGGCAACAAAGGAACAAGAAGGAGATGAGCGCTCGTCTCCTTCTTGTCCCTTTTTCGTCGTTCGGTGCTCGCGCCATAATTATCGCCAGTTTCAAGATCAGCTTTAAATCGGCTACTTTTCTCTCGACAAGTGATGCCATAGGCGCAATTAGGCTTGCGACCATTGGCTGACTTGAGCATCGTCAGCAGCATAGTTACCGCGGCCGCCGCGAGATGCCACAACGTGTTCGCACTCTCACTCGCGATCACAGTGAAAAGAAAATGCTCATGCATCGTCTGAACGTGGCTTCTCGACCCCCTTGTCATCTAACGTCCTCCTCCCACCCCTGCCTGCATATCGTTTAGCGCGCTCACTGGTAATACAGGAGAGAGAAATCCCTTAAGGCGTACGAAAAATCCCTGGAACTGCACTTGTGCATGACAGATTCTACGAAAGTCATGTGGTAGTCGATAAGTGAGGCAACAAAATCCGATGTGTAAATCATTCGGTAATTACTTGAAAAATTGCTGCAAAGCACATTAATGCCATGAACAGCGAAGCCAGAAGTTGCGGCGTACAAAATCCCAGCCTCCACAAATTTGTAAATTATATAAGTACGCCCGCTTATATGCGTACAAAATACGTAGTGCATAACACGGTGGTCATGTGGTCATTGTGCTCGAGTGCTGACACGAATGTCCCGAGATCGAATCCCGGCCAGGGCAGCCGCATTTAGATGGAGGTGAAATGCTACCCCCGTTCTTATTTAGGTGGCCGTTAAAGAAATACACTGTATAAAAAGGTCGACAACTGGGCTAGCCTGCATGGTTTCGTTATGGTTAAACAAACTTAGGTGGTCGAAAATTACGGGGACCTCGGCTATAGCGTCCGTCACAATCATATCAAGGCTTTGGAACAGGCAAGCCTCGATAATTATTACTAGACGTACGTGCACGAAGATATGTGAAAACGGGGAAGTGAACTCCTTCTCTTATCAATAATTTCTGGCTATGCCACTGCTCAGGTGTAGGTAGAATAGGGGCAGAAAATGGGGCAGTCTGATGCGTTCTACCGTAGCACTCGGCTATATATGGAGGGGGCCACATTGGATATCGTGTTTCAAACTGCGTCGTTCGCGCATGATGAACCACGGATACAAACATGAAGCGACATGGGTCGAAGCCCCTACGTGAAGACCGAGGTGGAGCGTGACCCTGTTTGTACACGGGACAACACTGATCACGCCCGTTAGTTTCGGGCACGTTCATGACCTGTCCCAAATGCAGATCATTTGAACGAATGCGTCGCGGCCACGGTTGAGGACAGCGATGAGCTCGGACCCCGCGGATCCGCTCCGGTTCCCTGACTGCCGACCTATAAGCGTATAGTATAAGTAGCTGGCCCACACAGTCGCCGGGCTTACAATCGTACGCCTTTTGTCTGGCAGGCTCGCGTTTCGTAATAAAACTGCGCGTTTGCGAAAGTATCACTGTATGTATACATGGATATACATCGCAGGGCTCTCGTCCATGTTCATTGGGATTCAGGAAGTGTAGCTTCATTATAGCAAAAGTGGCTCAGTCGTTTGTACCAGCGTTTATACCCTCGCTGAGCGTGGTGACAAGAAAACTGGAGTGTTCCAGCGCAACCTAACCATCTGTTTGTCGGTGTTTTGATGCTGCACGTCTACGAATATGCAAGCGCGTGAACAAAGTAGGTGATTTTATACACAAACGAAATGAAGCGCGATATTATTTCGCTGAAAAAATTATGGACATCCGTTTTCCCTCCCTGGCCACACTTCGTCACCCTACCGATCTTGCGCCGAACACACACACACACGTTCGCACACACACACACACACGCGCACACACACACACACACACACACACACAGAGAGAGAGAGAGAGAGAGAGAGAGAGAAAGCAGTTTACATATCTGCAGAAGGCAGACAACAACATGGCGTGCAATGCAGAATACACTGGACTAGATACTAGACTGTAGGGTGCTCTGCTAAGTGGCTACTGTACATACGCATCACCTCTTCTTGTCCACATCATCATCCTTCATCCCTCTTTCCTTCCCCCTTCCCTTATCCCCTGTGTAGAGTACTAGGCTAGAGCGAACTAGCTCAGGCCGACCTCTCTGCTTTCCAATAAAATTTCACTTTCTTTCACACACACACACTAGAGCCTCACTTGCATTCCTGCGTCCTATATAATAAAAATGTTACTTTTGTTGTGGCTGTTGTTGTTGGGCTATAGGCAAATATGGCTCACCACCATCTGCGAGGAACTGGCCGTAAATCGGGCGGTTGTATAACATGTTCTGAAAGTTAATAATGGGATCATTTGCTGATGAAGAATTGCCCATTGAAGTGTTTGTTTTCAGGCGCGGCATGAACTAGAGAAACCATTTACCCAATAGCTCTAATTGAAAAGCGCGTATGAGTATGCGTAAGTATGAAAAGATAACAGCAACCTGTTCATCTCGGTAGCTGATTGGTTTCACCATTGTAATTTCACATGAACTTGCGCCAATCGACTCGAAGTTCTATACGTTTTCAATTTTTCTTCGTGCACGTGCCGAATGGGTACTGCACCAATTCTGTCAACAAATCTTCACCGACAAACTGCGCGATGAAAGCAAAGCAAAAAAAAAAAAAAAAACACAGGGAACGAACTTAACGATGTGTCAAAGCGTAATGGACAGTGTTTCCTGTTCGTGTTTCGCTGTCCCTGCCCTTTCGTGTTCCTGATGGCATTTCGGGCAAGCGCAGTTCGTGACCCTCTATTCCTATGGGCGGGGTCACTTCGTGGTTGCCTAGCTACGTGGCTATACTTACTTCCTGGGGGCGTGATCCCGTGTTCAGTGTGGGACAGGTGTAAAGCAAAACTGGTAGGAGAATGTGGAGAGAGTTATACACTGCCGAACAACGTGTCGGCACGAAAGCCTCTACCTTCGGCTTTTAATGACAGGAGGAAGAGAAACCCAATGTTTGACGGCAGCACGTCCGGCCAAATAACATATTAAAATATCGCGAGCATGCCAACCAAAAGAAGTGAAAATGCAACGACCTTTCGGCTTCCCGTACATTTCCGTACATAGTCTTGTCCAGGATAAGAGAAGAAGAAGAAGAAGAAGAAATATAGGAAAGGTAAAGAGGTTAACAAGACTAAGTCCAGTTTGCGATCCTACACGGGGGAGAGGAGAATGAGAGAAAAACAGAGTGAGGAGGAGATACACCTTGCACATAATACACACACCGCACGCACAGTTCAGGTTTCACAGGCGGTCGCACAGTGACGTTGCCCTCAAGAAAAAAAGCCTTTCATCAGCAGAGCTACTTAAGGGACGGCCCTGTCATCGTCTCGTGCCTCGCTTTGGTCTCACGCAGTGACATGTCTCGCATTGGCGACACACAGGTCTCCAATTTTGACACACAAAAATCAAGCAGGCAGCACGTTTTCGGGGAAAAAAAGGAGAAAGAAAACAGAGGAGACCATAGAACAACAAAAAAAAGAATATCCACAAGACAAATAAGAAAATCCAAATAAAAGAACAGGAAGAAATAAGACATCTTAACACGCAAAGAACACTACATAGCAAGAGAGAGCAGGTTAACACAAGATAAACGCAATAGAAGTGCGAACGCATCAATGTTTTGCGTTGATTCACCAGCAGGACTTTGACTTACATGCTATTTTCGGCGGAAAGCTTGGAACATAAAGACGGGTAAAGAAGAAAGACAGATGAGCGCTACTTTTCTTCCTTTGCTCTTCTTTAGCTTTTAAGCTTTGCGCCACAAATGTGCATCGTTCAGCAAAGTTACGCACCAACTCACCCAAGAAAAAGTTCTGGCTTTGACTTATTTATTGTGCACAAAGTTCGCCCACAAGAAGCCTAAACGCCTTTGAACTTTCACTTGTTTTACCGGAGTGCAGTCTAGCGATTCTTCGTCACGACGAAATGTGCTGGTAATTCAATGCTTCACGCGAAGCTAAGAATTCGTTTTCGAGGACGCAGCGGCAAGCGGAAAGTGCGAGATGTTGAAGCTCGTTCATAACCGCGACTAGCACGGGTCACGAGACCGAGTTACGCG